TAAAAAACAAAAAAACCTTCGTTTTATGAAACAAGATTAAAGCGAAGCAATTAAAGGATAAGGCTCATATTTAATTTTCTCCCTAAAATGTAATTTTTCATGCAGTGACAACCTCAAACCCTTTTCAAGTTTTATAGCTATTTTACATTTGGCACAAAGAACAGGAAACCATCTGTAGCAGACCAAGATCATCGCAAGGCTATTCACAGATATGGGGAGGGGAAGACCGAGATGAAAAGCAATGAAATGTTAACTTTAAATGAAAGCTTTGAAGGTGTGCAGAGGATGCTGGTTTCTGCCTTGGGCCTTGATCTCTGCAAACAAACAAAACCCTGAAACAATGAACACTCTTAGAATTAAAAAGTTGAGTATTGAGCCAAAGTACAAGGACTGGGGTACATTCATAGTTTTGCAGCTCAAATCCATGTGTTTACTAGTTAGAAAGTCCCACTGAATTCTATGGTGCTCCCACATAATTAGGTTTCTCTGTTCTCCTGAGGTCTCCCCTCTCCCACTTGACCCTGTTCTGCGGGCCTATAGTGTCAACGCTAATTGTGCCACAGATTTAAACTATGTGTTTTATTATCTTCAAACACGACAAGTTACATGCAGATTAACAATTTAAATAAACGTTTCAAATAAGTAAAACCTATTGAACAGGAGATCCATTGTAAAACTACCTTTTGTTTTTCTCTCACCTTTTCAAGTTCTACTTTTCCTGAGGCTCCCTAACAATGGCCTGGTTTGGATGTAACACTAAGCCATAGCTTAGCATTGTTGGAACAAGCCCCCTTAAGACTTGGTGATTGACCATTCCCCCTGCCCACATCATCATCATCATTATCATCATCATCATCATTATTAAAATTTGTATACCTCCTGTGCCCGTCAAAGGAGGATACTGGAAGAATCTACTTCTAGATTTAAACTAACCATGGTTTGTTATTATGCTTGATAAGGAGAAATAAACTGTGCTTAAACTATGTTTTATTGAAACATGCCAGGATCAAATTGTGGTTTCTGATCGTGGTTTATTAAAAAAAAAAAAAAAGCTCCTCAGAAAACCCATAGTTTAACCTAACCTCAATTCCTGGTGGAAGCAGTGGAGCTTCTCCTCAAGAAAGTTTACTTCAATATTGGGCTTTTTGTAATTTATATATATATAAAAGGAGACAACTAAGGGAGCTCTCAGATGGCCTGTTTGCTGAACATTCATCCTGATTTGTTTGCAAAGAGTTTAGGGGCTGTTGGGTATTTAATGGACACTTGCTCAGATTTATTTGGTGGGAGATTACACGAAGTTGCATCAAAGCAAATGTTATCCCACTCTTCCCAGTGCATTTCCCTGCCTCTTTTTTTATTGGAAAAGTCCACTCTTTCGTTGTACAAGATCTCCCAGTTATCTATATTTGCTGGTATGTGATTGAATCCCACATGAGAATAGCGACAGTCTGGAAGCACCCTAAGAGACACAATGTATAAAACGGATTCAGAGTGGTGTGGAAAGAGTGAACACAGTAACCCAATTCAGAGTATGACCACAACAAACAATTTAGATCTTAAGAAATACATTGTCACTAGATCTTATGACAACCACCAGAATAGACATTCTTCAAAGAAAGCGAATACTTTTTAATAGGGCCATACCTATCAAAGGCTATATTTGGGGATGAGATTTCCATATTAATAGATAGGAATAACAGCAGGATATTGTGTCTTGCTTAAAAGCTTCCCTCAGGGCGCCCGGTGACTGATGTATGAGACAGAAGGCTGGACGAGGGCTTTTGCTCGTCTTGAGCAACGCCGTTCTCCATTCTTTTGTTCTCATTATTCACCCCAGGATTATAAACTAAGCTATTATTTGGTTCAGCAAGTTTTAGGACTGGGCCATACATTTTATGATTGTAGCACCTCGGTGCAGAAAATTACCTTCCAGAGAATTACTTTCCACATCTAGATAAGAAGTGCAATTAGTTTTAATTGCTTGCAAATGGCAACCAAACAATATTTTAGATGCGTGCCTTTCACCTACTTTGAGGGAATCAAGGGTTTTTCCAGGCAATTCAGAACAAGCATGCCCTAAACAGCATTTGTAGGTAGCAAGCAATACTTTGCAAGTCCCACACCAGCAGGACACCTAGTCCTCCTGTAAAGGGAATGGTTGCCATACTTTGTGCAACAACATAATCAACAGCAAAAGAAAAGTAATAGTAATGCAATAAGAGGTTGTTGAAATGACATTGTGAGGTTGTCCGACAGGAATGGAATTTGTTATCTCTTAGTGTTTTAAATAAAATGTGTCAAGATTACAAAACTGGGGAGCTCACATCCTTCAATAAGTTTTATTTTATTCTCAAACCCACAGCATGGCATGATTTGGGCTGGATCTACACAGATTGCAAAAACGCTTTAAAAAAAATGTAATAATAGCTCTCAATGCAGTTTCCCATTGATGATGGATTGCTGTTCTACAGAGCCCTCTGCTGTCACATTTTTATAATGCATTTTAACGTTATAACTGACCAGTGTAGATTTGCCCCTAGTGAAGAGAAATGGTGTGTCTTGTATTTGATAAAAATGTTGCATACAATACTTCTAGGTATTTCTGAAACACATACAGCCAGACTACAAAGATGAAAATACCATGATTTCCTCAGATATAAAATATTGAGTGTTGTTTGGGAATTCTAAGAAAGAAAAAAAAATCAAGGCAGTTTTGAAATAAGTGATTAAAATCAGTGCAGTTTTTAAAGGTTCTGGCTTCTTGATTCAAAATGGCATTCAAATGAATCCAAATATAGATGAAAACCTACTCCTTGATCTGAGGAACGACCTTGCAAAATTTTGTTAAAATCAAGGGTCGATGGAAGAAGATTGGAAAAAATTCAAAATATATCTTCAAAAGTACTGCAATATAAAAGAATGTTAGGAGGTTGGAAAAAGAATATTAGGTCGTTCTGGTAGATATGATATAATGGACTAAGCAAAAATGAGTTGATGAAATTGATGAATTAGAGGAGGTCTAATCACATTATTTTAATTTTTAAAATACGTAAATGAAAATAAGGTTAGAAGGATTTGCTGGAAACACGATCTGAACTAGAATACAAAACTGGGAGGTGAGAGGAGGTCATGGAAATAAGTAAAGGGAAAAGGCTATGTAAAGGTTTAATCTGTTTTTGTTTTATTTTAACTTAATGTATTTTTATATTTTTTGTCAAGTTTTCTTTTTTATTCTATCCTATTGTTCTTTTTTTACTTGTTTATTTCTTGCTTTGTTATGGTTAAAGTTTTCTTTGTATTTTGTATGGTTTTTCTTTTTCTTTTTTGGAACTTTAAATCTGGAATAAATATCATTTATTAAAAAAAACCAAAATTTTGTTAAAATCAGGGCAGTTTTGAGAGGTTCAGCCCACCATCTTGATTCAAAATGGTGGTGAATCGTTGTCAACATAGACAAAAACCTACTCTTTGAGCTCCCTAACCATCATGAAAAGTTTGGTTACGATGTCTTAAGTGGTGTCCAAATGCATAACCAACAAATGAACAATTTTCCAAAATATATAGTAGAAAGAAAATATATCACATACAGCATTTGGAAAAGGTACTAAGCCTACAATTTGATCCTGACTTGTTTTTAGGAGGTAATTTAATTATTGTTTGATTTTATACCAATGTCATATATTTGATGTTAGTCTCCCTGAGCCCAGTTTCAGCCGGGGAGGGCGGGATACAAATAAAAGATGATGATGATGATGATGATGATGATGATTACAATGGAAGAACAAGTGGAGAAGTGCCAGGATAGAACACAACATTCTAAAAACTAAGGCTCCTCACTGGATTTCTCTGGGGCTGAAATCCTGAGCCAAACTGGGTGTATTCAGAAGGATTTGGACCTCAGGCAAGAAGGAGAGGAAGGTGTGAGTGAGAAGGACAAACTGCAAAATAGGAGGGACCTACCACACGGCTGTGTCTTGACTGGAGAAGGAGGGGAAGAGCTTTTCCTTCCACACCTCTCCTTCTTCCTGCCCCTGAAGCAGCACTCAGCAGGACTTGATGCTCCTTCTTAACAACTGTCGAACAGGAGGATCCAATCCTGTGTGGTCCTGTGTGGTGCTGCTCCTTTGCAATCTGTATTTTTAATACGTTCAAATAGGATTTTTAAAAAAACCATTTAAAACTCCTTTGCTACACCCCTGAATTGATTTAGGGATGGATTTGGTGACCCCCCTCGGCAGAACAGGATGATTTGGTCTAATCTGGTGGCCACAGATCAAGACCACAGGGTGGATTGGGGGGTCCACACACACCCCTAGTAAAATCTCATTTTGTGGAATGGGCCTATGCCAGTCTTTCAAACGGGGTGGGGGGTGGGGGAGGAAAACAACTATTCAGGGCATCCTGTAGCAAGATTCAAAGCTGTCATTTGCTAAAATGTTACTTCCCAGCCACTGTGATTGCAGGGAGAAAAGAATCAAAATGTGCCACAGGCTCAGAAGCTCTTAAGACCGATTAAGATAAGCCTAACATTAAGTGTTGTGCCATTCATAATTCCCAAGTACATTTCGTGACGGCTGAGGCTCTTGATTTGCGACTTTTCGCATTCAGAGTTAATAATTCTGAAATAAAAATGTCACAGAGGAAGGCCTACATGTCTATTAACTGCGTCTTGGCACCCATTGTGTTAATGAAAAAAATATGCAGATTTGATGATTAGCTGTAACTAAAATGTACAGCCCTCCAGCCACGATGTGCTTTTCGATGTGCTCTAAAGTTACACCAAATGAGTTGTCTAACCCTGGGTTAGACTCTAAGGCTTTTGAGCTTGGATGGTTTCCTTTTCAAACTGTTTGGCATAGATCAAAAAGTTGATTTATTTCTTTCCGTCTTGCACTCCCTCCCAAGCTGGGAAGCTGCTCCGCCTTCCCAGGATCAGGCGCGAAACCTAGGTAAGGTTTTAGACACGGCAAAAGCTTCAGAGCAGTTTTCCTCTTGTGATGGAAGAGCAAAATGAAGGAAGCAGAACAATGGTAAGAGATGATATTAGAATTATTGCTTTACAGCTCTCTACCAGAATGGATATTTTGCCAGAGTTACCATAGATTTAATCTTTTTTGTGTGTGTGTGTTTTGCAATCAAAGATAACTAACCCGAAGATAGTGAGCAAGTCATCGTACAAAAATGTAAATGACAATTAGTATATATTTCTGGTGGAAATGGATTGTTTTAATGGTGACAAAATCCTGTTGTGTAATAAGTACCAAAGGACAGGTCATTTCAACAGTTTCATCAATCGCAATAAGAAATGAAAGGTGCATTTAGAAATAGATTCACACATGCTAAAATGATATTGCTTTTCTGCCTTAAATAAAGTTTCTGGGGCTGCAAGACTGTATCTGATGACCTGGCTATCGTCCTCATTGAAATCAGTGGGATATACTTTTGAATCGACACATATAGAATCATTCTTCTCCCCACCATTTGGGGCACATTTAAACACTAAAGAAGAACATGCATAAAAACTCTAGATTGGTACTGATTTCAGTGACATTTGCACCCTGCCCTTAGTACTCTGGCTAGTAAGTACAAACTATGCCAACTCTTACATCCATGCAATCTCTATTTATTTTAGGAGCATTTTTAAGGGTTTAGAAGGGCTGTTAGGGATGCTGGGGTCTGGTGCCTAGCTATGCTTTTCAATTTAATGAAACAATAAAGAAGAGGTAGATGAGATAGCATGTACAAATAACGCTCGTATAGCTCATTTCTTTACACTCAAATAAAGAGGTGTATTAAGCTTAGTAAAAGCAGGAGAGTCTGTGCTAGTTCAATGTTTCTCATACTTTTTGAACATGAGTCCCCCTTCTAAATGAACTCGTCTATTTTTCTCCACCACCCCCTCCAATGACCCAGCAGTAATAATCTGTTTTGTAGATGAGATGCAGGCAGAGAGAAGGAGACCCATGCTCACGTGTCACACATAACACAGTCATGTGTGAACAGTTGGTTCTGCATGCAAAGAGCTATGGGTTGGGGTTCCACTCCTATCACCAGCGCTAGCAGAGAAACGGAGCAGAATTTATTTGACACCCCTCTAAAACAATGTACCGGGAAGCATCATAAAAAGAAAACAGCAGGTCTTTCTGAGCAACCTTCTTCGCAAGGTTGACACATGGATGATAAGGCAATGAAGGGGCATCTGCTGGGGACATTCAATCCACCCAGGTTTGGACTTGGGGGACGAGGGGACGTGCCACCTACTTCATGATTCCATCCCTCTCTGAAACCCCATGCCTTCCCTGTAAATCAGGAATAGAGAACTTTGGCTCTCCATATCTTCTTGGCTTCCATTATCCATGGCCATTGCCCATGCAAGTTGGGCCTGATGGAGCTTGGGATTCCAATAACTTCCAGAAGGCCACAGGTTCCTCACTCCTTCTAAAGCACCCCTCATTTGGGCAACCACAGTATAAGAACAGGATTTGTTACATATTCTAATCCTTAAAAAAATGTTACTGAATTGTTAACGATCCCATCGCTTACCTCAATTCTCCTACTTGAGGTCATCTAACAAGGATTAGTTATCTTTTAATACTGGTGGATTTGTGATTACAGTACTAGAGCGTTTAAAGGATTTGTTATTTTTCCAGCTTTTCAATGAATCTATATTAATAAAGAAGTAATGCTTTGCCTGCACTGGTTGCAAATATGGAACCAATGTGGATTCTCAGTATCTCATGACTATGGCCATCCTGGTACAGATATAACACTTATTTTTGTGTAAACTCATACATAGGAACACACATACATAGGAACAGTGCAGGATTAAACTCTGTGGAGGCCCCTAGGCAGTTGAAATCTCGGGGGACCCCTTGTGTGCTTGCTCTAGTGGAATAACATTGAACTAGGAAAGCTTGATTGGAATTCTCTTTCAAGATCAAATCCATATTATTTTGATCCATTATCAAGGGGCTGCTAAAAGGCGTGGGGCCCCTAGGCCTGTGCCTACTCTGTCTATTTGGTAATCCAGCACTTCATAGGAAGTTGAAAGACTGATAATGCATGGATGCGATTCATTTACTGATTTCAACGTAGCCTTTAAAGGCTTTGGTTTTCATAAAAATGAGTGACAAATGTAACATTTTCTTACTTCTGCTGACAGCCTCAGCACGCTTAGAAGCAAAACCTGTTACCTACTAGCAAGTAAATGTAATTAGAAGGAAGGTGGAAACTTGTCAGTGTACCATACAGTACATTTAACATGCCACATACGAACGATTTTTAAGATGCAAGTATTTGCTGGCAAATCTAGAGAAAGAAAAGAAACTTCTGTGCTTATGCGTGCAGAAGTGTAGGTTTCTCTGGAGGGCATGCTTCCTTATATCAAAATGTCCAGATTCACTGAAGTCGCTGCCAAATGCTCACTGACTTCCGTGGATTCAGGTTACCCCCTTAAGCCCTACATCTCTGTGCTTTTCAATAAGATATGTATTCCTCCAGCGCCTAAGGGTCAAATTACTCAAGCATTACATCATTGTAGCGGAAGACATGCGCCCTGAAGGGGGAAGCCTCATTGATTATAGAGCAGGAGCACTACCTCAAACAATTCTCTTTGAAGGACCCCGAAGGGCAGATATGCCACCAAATATAATCCCTGGGAAGAGGATCCATGTAGGCGGTGACATGATTATGTATGAAAAGTATATATAATAGTTAGGAAAGCCAATGAATTTTTGTATGTCAACTAAACTCCATCGGGAATGTATTCTAAATGCTGTACAGAAACAGGCAGTGGGTCGATCAGGTAGCCTTCAGGGTGATTTGCTAAATATCTGAGTCTCCTTTTTATATATATAAAAATGATGGAATCAGGTTTCTAGGGGTTCTTGGGGGAAAAGGTAGACGGCAGATGACCATCCTACCTGAAGGAGTGTCTCCACCTCCATCGTTCTGCTCGGACACTGAGGTCCAGCGCCGAGGGCCTTTTGGCGGTTCCCTCGCTGCGAGAAGCCAAGTTACAGGGAACCAGGCAGAGGGCCTTCTCATTAGTGGCGCCCGCCCTGTGGAACTCCCTCCCACCAGATGTCAAATAGAAAAACAACTACCAGACTTTTAGAAGACATCTGAAGGCAGCCCAGTTTAGGGAAGCTTTTTATGTTTAATAGGTTATTGTATTTTAGTGTTCTGTTGGAAGCTGCTCAAAGTGGCTGGGGAAACCCAGCCAGATGGGCGGGGTATAAATAATAAATTATTATTATTATTATTATTATTATTATTATTATTATTATTACCTCTGTTAAAAACCTCCAATGGAGGGGAGTCGATTTCTACTTCTGAGGTTGTCTATTCCACTGTCAAATAGTTGTGGCCATCAGCAAGTTCTTCCTAAGGTTTCACTCTCCTTCCTTGTAATTATAATTCAAGCCAGGGACCCCATCAGGAAGCAGGTTCCTCTGGGAACGTATGTTTGTATAGTTAGCCCCACTGGGGTATGACAAGCCACAGGGATTGAAGAAGAGGTGTGGCCAATCTCAGGAGACCCATGGCATGCTGTGGTATGGGGCACCATTCTGCTGAGAGCACCCAAGTGCTTCAGGCGCATACTGTGTTGGCTTGCCCAGTTGGTCCTGGGACAGCCAGCTTGAGAGAGAGACTTTGGATATTAATTATATACCTGAGCACAGAATCATAGAATTGTAGAGTTGGAAGAGGGCCATCTAGCTCAACTCCCTGCAATGCAGGAATCTTTTGTCCACCGTGGGGCTCGAACCCATAGAAGAAGAAGAAGAGTTTGGATTTGATATCCCGCTTTATCACTACCCTAAGGAGTCTCAAAGCGGCTAACAATCTCCTTTCCCTTCCTCCCCCACAACAAACACTCTGTGAGGTGAGTGAGGCTGAGAGACTTCAGAGAAGTGTGACTAGCCCAAGGTCACCCAGCAGCTGCATGTGGAGGAGTGGGGACGCGAACCCGGTTCCCCAGATTACGAGTCCACTGCTCTTAACCACTACACCATGGCTGGCTCCCACACCCATGATCCTGAGATGAAGAGCCTCATGCTCTACCAACTGAGCTGTCCCAGGCACGGAAGCACAAATGAGCCCCACGTTTGCAATAATAATGATTTAATAATAGAAAGACATTCATTTTGACTACCACACACAGCAAAGTTGAATGTCAAAAAGAAAATAGGGGGGAAGGAAGAAGCAAAAAACTTCTCCCACTACATTTCCTGGCACAAAGTGGAAACAACATACCATACAAGATGTTAACATCAGTTAGAACACCCTTTCCTTAGGACACCAGCATCTCTAACGGAGGTGATTACCTGAGCAGAACAATAGCCTGATTGTCAAAATGCTCAATGCAGATGACGGGAAGAACGTTAGTATTTATGGATGTAATTAAATGTCACTTGCAGTGTGAGTGAGCTGATACCATGTAATGTTATATTTACTTGGCATCAAGGAATAGATTTATGGGAATGTTTTAAAAAACAGAAGGAAGTCAGCTGAGCACTAAGCTGTAATGTAGCTGCTGTACACAAATGCAGGAAACCTATTCAAGTTTATGGGGTCATGGGACTTACTTTACAGTGTTTGTCAGCATATAAAAGATGTACAGGCAGAAATCCAAGCAGGTGGCAGGGCTTCCAGTTGTTGTTGTTGTGTGTGCTGAGGGTACAGCATATTGAGCACAGGATGTGTGTGCAAAAAATGCTGGACTCTCAGAGGGCTTCCAAGTGTTGGGTTTCACACCACCACCTCCACAAACACACCTGATCCTTAAGTGATGCTATGGCAGGTAGATACTTACAAACCAGGTGTCAATTTCCTTTCTAGTCCTAATGTATCAGCAAGATTAGAATGAGATGAAGAGCAAGCATTCCTCAGTGGCAGTGCTCCCATCCCCCCTACCCCAAGAACCACTTATGAAGGTTACTTCTCTGTTGTAAATGTTTCTTCTGTGGGATATTTCCTCTTTCATATTTTGGTTCCACACAACAGTCATCAGAGTAGTTGAAGACTGGAAACACCTCTGGAGAACAAATGCATTCCATGGAGACATTTGACTTATGTCAGCTGATATATATATATGTGAGATCTTCAGGAACTTGTAGAAAAGTCCCACCCCATGCCAGCAGCACCCGTAGAGTTGCATCCATTTAAAGCACTGGGGATGGAGAGTACCAAAGCAATGAAAATAAAAAGCAATGCCTTAAAAAAGAATAATCTTTTAGTGATGCCATGATACCTTCCAACGTTTCTGGGGATGGGTGGGTCCTGTGGGAAATTGGATACAAGTTCCTTGTTGTGTTATTTGTGGATCCAGGTGCAATGGGGGGCATGCACAGACAACAATAACGACAAGGAGTCAGGTGTTAGATTATAATTAGGCCACAAAATTATTGATTACAGGCTTGGCATAGGCACTGGGCCTATATCTACTGATCCAACTTGCTTGCTGGTTGATATGCTGTCAGTCAACAGATGGGGTTGACCGATGTTGGGGTCCCCCACATAGTGAACTGCTTCTGGTAGACTCCGAAATTCCTTTGGCTTGTGTGTGTCACTGAGTACATTCTTCAACTGACCCAAATGCTTTGTTGGTTCAGCTTGTTATTTCTACCTGGAATATATGCTGTCTCGTATGTAGCTCAGCACGTGAAGGATTTTAGGAAACAGATGGTATCTTTCAGGCTATTGCCATCATGGGATGGCCACCTGTAGGCTTGCCGGAAAGGAAAGTTGCATTTTACAGACTTTATCTTTCTTATGTCGCTCCTTTTCATCTTGCTTTTTCAGTGGTTATTCAGGGGAGGCTTTTAGCCACAAGTGACACCCCCTTGATGGCATGTGCTGAGATGAGTGGAAGCCACAAGAACACTAGATAGGCATGACCACTGTGTGCAGGGTGTAGCTTGATAAGCTGCTCAGGCATACTGTCTCTTCTCTTGCCTTGAGGAAAGAGGTGTGGCATTATGCATGGAGAGACTGTTCTCCAAAGCGTTATCCTCTAGTAAACTCCATTGTGTACGGTGATACTATTATCGGTTCTAATTTGTGCTTAACCAACTTCAGCGGAGCAGTAAAACATTGCTTGAGGGTAAGGTGTGGTGTACAGAGAAGAGCACCGGTCGGGTCCCTGTGATGAGGTGTTCTGCTAGGAGCGGGAGAGGCATCCCATAAAGACTTCCATCTTCTGCCTTGCTTGGATCAGTGACTCATATCTAACCATCAGGATTCCCATGGCGTTTTGGCAAAAGAATTTCTGAGTCACTGTGCCACCATCCCCCTTTAGGATGGTTTGCTAAAAACCGAAGTTCTGTTTACCTCTCTGCATCCCCGTGGAAGCGGAAAGGTGACCCCTGGGTTTTCGTGCTTCAACAGGAATTCCATTGTTTTCTGCAATTGTTTACAGTAACTGAGGGATCCAGGACATAAAGTATAAAGGATGGTTTCCTTAAGATCTGCTGAGGTCCAACACATTTATTCTTTTTTGCAAGAAGGGAAGAAAACTGCTGTCTTTAGCATTTCTATGCAGAATCATGCTAATTGTTTTAAATGTCACCATTTGTTTCCTTTGATTTATAAACCAGTTTTAAGCGATTAGTGTGAACATACCCTGAATGAGAAGGCTGGCAAAATATCTATGTTCTAACTAAGCATCTTGCTGAGAACATAAGAAGAGTGGAGCAAGTATCTGTTCCATAGTCTGTCTTAGACCTGTGTCATTCATTAGGTTAACCAGAGGTGAGGAATCAGTATTGCTTCAGAACTTGTGGGACTCTAACTCCCATCAACCCCATTTCGGATGGTTAAGGGGTGATAAGAGTTGTAGTCCAACAATATCTGGAGAGTCAAAGATTCCTTATCCAGGATGCAAACCAATTTATCACTCCACCCTCATTCATTACGGTGTGAAATTATTCAAGTACCAGTGCAATTCTTAAAGGATCATTTTCAGTAGCTGTTAACTTCACAGCCTTCCACCAAAGGGCCTGTTCAAAATGTAAGCACTAGTTTAAATCCTTGTCGTTTTTCCTGATCAGTGATGAAAGTTAATGTTTGCAACGTGGAATGCTCATAGCTTGAGGAACAATCTGTCATCGGAATAAAGTATAGCTGCTCTAGCTGATTGGTTTCTGTCCATAACTATTGGTTGGGTTTCTAATTATTTCTTGTTGGCAGTCATTTCAAATTATATCAACAAGGTCATGTCACTCTGAGGTACCTTTTCAAATGTTACTGAGGGGTGTTTCCTGAACACTAAAGTACAAAAATAATTTCACTTTATTTGTTCAAGGAAGGCCTTCAAACTGGTACCTTTGAGTTGTTATCCTCTAACCTCTTCCTTGGGAAGATGCACCACTGAATTCAGTTGTACTTACTTCTGAGTTTACATTTATAGGATTATACTGTTAGTAGAAAAATACAGAACTGACAAATGTCGGTGAACAAATATGCATATTTTCAAGTTCCACACCAAATCCAAGAGAGGGAGAAGGATATAGTGATATACTTGACAACATCGGACTTTTCCTCATAGGTAAAAAAGTGGCTGACAGAAATTTGGTAGGTCAACCTGCAGCCGCTTGTGGAGTTCATCTTGTGGAGTGCCAGGCGCCATTTCTCAATTAAATAATAAAATATCTAGCTGGCTCTCACTTCATGACAAACAGTTGATCAGGGTGGTCAACGTGGAGAAGAGAACAAGGCAATGTTAGATGAGCAGGAAGTCAGGTTAGATTATGAACTAATGTGCACTCTTTTATCCATTGATACAGGCAAACACTGCTTGACACACTAAGCGCAAAAGGCTTTGCTGTTCACTTACATAGCTGATGTATCATATAATACATAAGAAGTCCTCCCCTGCTACACTTTTTGTATTCGTTTAACAACCAAGCAAAAAACTTAATATTCACTCGCCTACTTTATCCTGACATGTAATGGCCTGCCCAGTTTCTGTCAGATATGGTGCTGTTTCCTAATGATTCAAACTGAAGAAAATGTTCTCCGGGAGATGGATGGAAATCCTAGCTTTGGCTTCTAAATATTTCTGGACCATGACATTAGATGTCAATATGCCCAGAGAATTTGGATCGGCATTCAAATTCTTTCAAGTACATTTTAAAAAAATGAGCAAAAAGGTTAGCGAACTCAAAGCTTGTGTGACTAAAAACATTTTCTGAACTTGAAAAGACAGAAATTCGGGTTTGGAGCATTTTGCAGCACTGGATCCAGAGCATAATCATATCAATGGAGAGATTTCAACTTATTGCTGTAATCAATCATTGCATTAAGTTAGGAGTGCTGTGCCTGTCATTGTACAGATGTTGGACTCCATTCCCATCAGCCCCAGCCAGCATGACCAATGGTCAAGGATGCTGGGAGTTGTTGGCTGGGTTAAAGGATGGCTGATCAGTGTAATAGACGAGGGTCAAGTATAAGAGACTCATACTATGCAGCACCAAGTCAAGGCATCAGATCAGCGCAGCATTGCTGTACTGCAATATCTACAACTGCCTGGTGTAGTGTCCTACAACATTGGGTTGTACCCATTGCAATGCTACCCATTGCATTGGGTTGTGTGAAAGTGTATGAAGGAAGCAGAGTTTATTTGGTCAACAATCTAAAAGCATTCTGATGTAATTCCACACAACCAGAATACAGTAGTTGTGCAATGTTACAGTGGACATACAAAACAGAACTGTCTCATTTGTCAAATGTCAGATGGTCGTCCACAAAGTAAGTCACTCTAAAATCCCATTTAAATCAATGGGCTTTAGCACTGACTTTTTTCTGTGCTGTCTTGTGAGCATTATACATAGATTCAAGAGCTTAGCATCATAGATATTTTACGTCCTTCATTTGCTTACTGTTGCCAGTTTTAAATATCAACATCTTTCCTAAACCTGTCCAGTCTATTTATTTTGTTTCCTGGAATTGCCATTCTGTATTGCTGAAATGAAAAATCGTGTAAGAGACTATTTTAAAAACAACTGGGTTTAAATGAAAATGTATGTTTGCTGGGTTGAATCCAGACTGACACTGTTATGTTTAGTTACGTGGGTCTGTTCCAAGCATGACTAAATCTGGGTCAAACCCCTTGAGAAGTCACTCAAATGACTTCAGAACATGATGTAGCATCCAGAGGTCCCCTCTAATCGGAGGAGTCCTTCTATCGGAAAAAGCCCCCTTCTGTCAGATTAACCTCTTTCCACCAGAGGAAGGAAATCATTGGAAACCATCTAATCCAGAAGAGATGTATGTTCATTTGTGCTGTTTGTTTTCTGGATGCAAAATTAAGAAGTTGGGTTGAGAAGGGAGTTGATGTGTGAAGTTTCTTAGAGCTATCAAATCCCTGCTTTGTGTTTCATGCTTTGTGTTGTCTGCCTGAATTAAGCAGTGTCTGGCCGTTCCATCCTTACATATAGCTGCCAAAATCTGTCATTGTGTTCATGAGAAATCACTGGAAAGTGGCTTTTATATCTGGAGCGCAGTGATGCAGTCCTCTGAACTGGTCCTGGTATGTGATTTCATAAGCAAATCTTCCCTCAGGATGTTCCTAGGGCTGCTATGTGGGGTATTGTGGAAAAGCAAATGTATACATTCCCATATATAAAATGAAATGAAATGAGATAGCATGATGGTTTAGATGGTTAAGCATCGCTCTCGGTCCTACAGCATCCGTAATTGTAGCCAGGCTTTCTAACAGAGTTGGCTGAATGGGTAATCTCTGCAGCCAAACCCGCTAGATTTCCTTGTAGAACATCTCTCTCTTCTTCCCTCTTTGCTTTTCTGTGACATTTATTTTCCTCTATCTATCCATCTTTACCCCCAAACCCCTTTTGGGCTCATGACGAGCTGCATTAAGGATTTGCTTTATCTTTTCCTTCCTCCGCTTCTCCCACCCCCCATGTTCCCCCCACACCTTTTCCTAACCTGAAAGCATTATCCATTCCTTGTGCATTTATCTTAGCTTATGTGGTCGCCATGAGATGAAGAACCTCAAGCAGTCAGTCTGCGGTTGATTTGAAAACAGGCGAGTCTCAACAATGAGCTTAAAGAAAGGTGTCAGGTATAAATCAATTCTTCAAACAACCAGGGTGCATTCCAAACTTCAGAGACACTTCTTTGTGCAAAGTGATTTCTCTCTCCCCCACCACCCGCTCTCCTTTTCTTTTCCCTCTGCCTGGAAGAGGATGAAAGTGGAGGAGTGGGGGCATTCATTTAGTCTAATAACGAGGGTGAAGCTCACAGGCATAATAATTTGGCAGCTGCTTTGCTTCCTGTAACAGTTAAACTTCTATATAGGCTTCTTTTTTTTCCTTTTTTTTAAGCTGGGGGCTTCTCAAAAGCAAGTGTGTGTGCTTTTTGTTGTTGTTGTTAAACTGCTGGTGGTTCACCTTATGCAGGAGCCTTGCAATTAATCTTGTTTGTATTTAAAAAGACAATTCCCTCTATAAGCTTTCCTGACCTATAATTAATGAAGATCAAAACTGTTACTAAGATGTTTAAGGAGGTAGGGGAGACATGGACAGTTCTGTAACAAGCACAGGAAGACTCTGTTCTTCACTCATATTTTTTTCCACTCTGTTTTTTTTTTAAAGCGTTTCATATTCTTCTTTATATTGTTATCTTTGATTAAAGGGATGTGCAAATGATTATGATGGATAAACATTTGGAAGCGCCTAAAGCGCTAGTTCACACACTGCTTCTTTGTTGCAAGCTCTGATCTCTTATGTGGGGTCTTGGTGCCAGTTTCATGGCTATTATCATCCCTGCTCAATTACTCACTGCTGTCAATTTACAATGGAGACAGATCCATGTTTATTTGCAAATGCCTCAACACGCATTTGTACTACGGGTGCATATTACCGAGTACATATTAAACTCACAGGCAACTCCCGTTTTATATGCGACCTATATGTGCCCACAGGGCCAAATCTGGAAGTGACCCGGAAACGTCATAAAAGATGTCACTAAAAGGGTAGAACAGGGGCAGAGTGGGGCGTTTCAATTTCACATGGTTTCACGTAAGCGCGCAATGACCCAGAACACAATCCCCGCGCAAACCGGGGGTTGCCTGTACTGAATTAGTGTTATCCTGCAATCTGGGTATAGATTTTACATTTGAAAGATCACAACATATGGGTATTTACCACCCATTAGCAGACTGCAAGCAGATCAAACCTATCCGTTCTGAAGGAAATCAGCCCTGAGTGCTCACTGGAAGGACAGATCCTGAAGCTGAGGCTCCAATACTTTGGCCACCTCATGAGAAGAGAAGACTCCCTGGAAAAGACCCTGATGTTGGGAAAGATGGAGGGCACAAGGAGAAGGGGACGACAGAGGACGAGATGGTTGGATAGTGTTCTCGAAGCTACCAGCATGAGTTTGACCAAACTGTGGGAGGCAGTGGAAGACAGGAGTGCCTGGCGTGCTCTGGTCCATGGGGTCACGAAGAGTCGGACACGACTAAACGACAACAAAGCAGACAGCCATAGCTCTTTCCACGCTTTATTTGTGTGTAGAGCACCCAGTTTAAAGTGGGGTATACTTCTTCCACTGCCCCCAACACCTTGTTGCCATACTAGCTCTGCTCCTTGATGGTCCAGCACTGAGTGTGATTGTGTCTGCAAGGCAAGCTCAACCCACAAACAGATGCTTGCTCAGAGATACCCCATGCAACTAGGAACCTGCCCTATTTTGTGTTCTGATCACGTACAGCCCCTAAATGTGAGCAGATACTAATGCATGGGGCTTCTTTTGCAGACAACCGCACTCAAATTGTGATAATCAGATTATGGCACTGATCTTCCACTCTGGCTTGAAACTGCGAGTGTCCTACACATGGTCAACACTTATATAAGACTCATCTTGCAATAGGAACCATCAAACTAGGATAAACTAGGGCCTGGGGCCTCTGCTTGGATTTTCAGAAATTGAAGGAAGTGGGCAGCTGCTATTCGTCTTTCCACAGAAGTGCATCAGTCTCATAGTTCCGGCTTTCATGTATTGTGGCTCCTCAGAGGGTCCTGACCCCCAGTCCGAAACACAAGGCTTTGAATCAGGGATGGGGAACTTGCGGCCTTCCTGATGTTCTTGGACTTCCAACTCCCAACAGGAATGATGCGAATTGTTGTCTAACTCCATTTGGCTGCCTGAGATGCAGCAGCATATGGTGTTCCTCAAGTCCGAAAGATTGGTCAAGTTATTTTGGCACCAGAGGCAGAAAATCCCACAGTACCAACAATAATAATTTGCTACCCTTCACATCACCCTAAATCAGCCGCCTGAGGCTGCCTCTTCACTCTGCCTTACGGCAGGGCCGGCACTGGTCTTGAGGGCTACAGGTTCTCCATCCCTCTTTTTTTAAAAAACAAGAGGCCTTCTCTAAAGAGAAGCAGGCCTCTGCCTGCTTCATTGCTATGGAAATGAAACACCTATTTTACAACAGCAGTTTAAAAGGTTAGCATCTGTAAGGTGGTGCCGTAACAGATTGGCTTAAGTGGGAACTGAGATCACCCAACATCTTATAAGGCTGAAGCCATAAACAGGTTTATTTCAGGCAAATGTATGCATGGGTCAAAACTTCAAAAGGAAATGCAGAGCAGTTTCATGATTTTACATGTAAATAAATAAATAAGTCCCAAATTGCCTTTGCCACTGGGAATTTGGTAGAGCAGATTACCTTTTCCCTGCACTGCTTCAAGGAGTTTTTGAATTGGCATCATCAATGATATTTGATTATAAAGTAACAATTCAGGAACCTACAAACCCCAAACTGCCTCCCAGCTGCACAATCTTCTGCCGGTTGTGTCAGCCCTTGCCTCCATTTTTTATTTTGCGTCACCACAAGAGCATTGGTAACTTTAAAAGAAATCCAAAAGTGGATGTGAAATGAATGAATGATCCATGGTGACTTTGATTGATGATGTGTGTCAGTTCAAAGAACGGCAGGAAGAGATTGATTTTTCTGTGAATCAGCGGAGCAAGATATAGGGCCAGCTGCTTCTCAAGCTCAGAACACATAAAAGGTTTTATAATGGGTTGGGTTCAGAGTATGTTATTCTTTTTCTGCTTCATAGGGGAGGGAGAAGGGGGGAAATGGTTCCCTTGATCCTTTAGACTTTGAACCTACAATATAATTCACAAAAAATAGCTTGCTCCAAAGGCATCCACAGACATCAGTGAGACTACTCTGGTGTAACTGATTTATGGGTTAGAACCATATGGCCTGATCCTATGAAGTTGCTTCCGTTTTATCATTTCAGAGATTGGCTTCTCTTGCCACAGGTAAAGAACCATCCTATATAACTGCAAATGGGGCACAGGTCACATGCTGCGCTCCAATTGCTAAGCAACCCTCCCCTCCAACTGCCCCATGGTAAATAATAATTTTATATTTGAAAAAAGGGAGGGGTAGGAAATCTACAGTTTTGCTTTCACTCAGGCTAAAGGACACCCAGTGTTGTTCAGGTCTTTTAAAAACTACATTTATATTCTCTCTCCTTCCCTGGAGCTTAGACACCACCACCCAGCACTCTCAGTGACAAGGAACAACAACAACAACAACATTTATACCCTGCGCCATGAAGGAATATCATTCACTAAATGAACAACTTACCCTTACAGCCCATTGTCCTTGTCAATATTTTTGTTGTTAAAATCAGCAAGTATTTTAGTTTCATAAGGGAAAATAACTTTAATTCCACGAAGCTTTCCACAGACCCTCCAAGTGTCCCTGTTTTCCAAGGACAGTCCTGGATTTACAAAAGCTGTCCTGGGACTCAGCTATACAGCTGCAAATAAAATGTTTTAAGTGCAATATAGAATGCAACACTAGCCTTCTGGAAAACTCAATGTATTTTTTAAAAATGCTTTAAAAAATAAATAAATTCAGAACGGTTTTTTTAAAAAAAAAATTCAGAACGGTTTTTATGTGTGTGTAGATTCCACCCTGGTTTCTTATTTGATCCCAGAATGTCCTGCTTTTCCTTAGGATGTCTCTGTTTTCATTGGAGAAATGTTGGAGTGTATGCTATTGATGCTTACTGGAGGTGAACACATAATACCTGCAAAACAAGGTATTTATTCTTCAAAGAAAAAGAAAGAAGGAACCCATCCATCTTTTCCCCATTCCACTCAACTGTATGAGTTTCTGTTGCCATGAAGTTATTTTAGAATGATTACATTCTAAAAAATAGAACCCAGCAGGCAACGAGCAACTCTTTACCAACCCACTTCTCAAATGCTATGAGTTACTTTGCCTTATTTTTCTTCTAGAAACTATTCACAGCAGGGATGCCTGGGAACCGGTTGCCTCATTTTTGGCACAAAGAAAAGAAAGGAAAACAGACACACAGTGTGATTGATGCCGGCTTACAAGACAATGCTAATTTAAAATGTTAATGCCATGTGGCATTAAGGCTGTTTGCAAGTTCGGTTTCTAAAGCAGTGCCAGAAATCCATCCAAAGGCAAAGCACCAGTTGCTAGGGAAAACTATATTCCAGGTGAATTCAGATCAGCCAATTAACACAGTCTGCATTCAATGATTTTGAAAGCAGAGATTTCGACATTACCTAGTTGAAAGAGACGCGGGTGGCGCTGTGGGTTAAACCACAGAGCCTAGGACTTGCAGATCAGAAGGTCGACGGTTCGAATCCCCGCAACAGGGTGAGCTCCCATTGCTCGGTCCTTGCTCCTGCCAACCTAGCAGTTCGAAAGCATGTCAAAGTGCAAGTAGATAAATAGGTACCGCTCCGGCGGGAAGGTAAACGGCGTTTCCGTGCGCTGCTCTGGTTCGCCAGAAGCGGCTTAGTCATGCTGGCCACATGACCCGGAAGCTGTACGCCGGCTCCCTCGGCCAATAAAGCAAGAGGAGCACCGCAACCCCAGAGTCAGTCACGACTTTAAGAGAGGATTAGGCAAATTCATGGAGGGCAAGGAAATCAAAGTCTACTAGCTACCGCTGCTTTATCTAAGACAGCATGTCTCTGAATGTCAGATGCTGGGAGACACAAGTGGAAAGAGCAGTGTTGAACTTAGGTCATCCTTGTGGGCTTCCCACAGGCATCTGGTTGGCCACTGCAACAGAAGGATGATGGACAAGAGGGACCTTTGCCCTGATCAAGTGGGGTTCTAATCAGATTCAGATGAGCTGGTCCACTTTTATTGTGCAAGGCCATTACAAATAGGTAGAGGTGCCATCTTCTCAAGATGACTGAGAAAGCCTGATGCAACACATGTGACGTCGTGTGACATCCTGACGCTGCACGTGCAACACTGTGAGGAGACAGAGGTGGAGCCAAATGCCCACTGAACATTGAGGGGCCCCGCCCCCTCGTAAAAAGCACTTTAGAGCACCCGAAACTGCCTCAGCCCCTAGGAACTGGTGCTCATGAAAGTAAGGGACCCCTGAGCAACCAGTGATCAGTGAACTTGAGTGCACATTTTATGGACAAATTACTGTGTGTATACAGAGGCCCTTCTTTCTGAGTAATCAAGACACGGGATTATTTTTTCAGTTCTGAAAGGTGAAATCTTTGCAAGTTTGTCTGGAACTATAGTATTTTTTATTTTTATTTTTTTGCAAACCAAAGAATTACCTCACTCAACTTTAATTAATATTTGCTTCCTCATAGATTAGAATTTGTGTACTTCTGCTTTGTTACATGTCAAATCTGGTGAAGGCAACTTGAGACGTGCCCACAACTGGGACATGCCAGAGGCTCTGTGTTTTGCCATTCTGTCAGGCTTTTAGGATCTATATACAAATTATCACCAGAGAATGGATGTTGGCACATCTGTTATCCTGGCCAAAACTGACACCTTTTAGCTGTTCAGGGGAGGGACAGATGTGATAGTCTGTGCCAGAACCCAAGTGATAAAAGCTCCTGTTCTATGTTTCCTGAGCTATTCATAAATCATCTGATTTCAATGAGGACATATAAATGGGAAACATGTGGTTAGTAGATCCTACAAGGACCAGACATTTTAAATCTTTCAGAACAGGAGAGGGAAAAGGCCCCCGCCCCCACAAGACAAAGAATTGATGCTTTTGAATTATGGTGCTGGAGGAGACTCTTGAGAGTCTCCTCCAGCACCATTCTGAAGGAAATCAGCCCTGAGTGCTCACTGGAAGGACAGATCCTGAAGCTGAGGCTCCAATACTTTGGCCACCTCATGAGAAGAGAAGATTCCCTGGAAAAGACCCTGATCTTGGGAAAGATGGAGGGCACAAGGAGAAGGGGACGACAGAGGACGAGATGGTTGGACAGTGTTGTCGAAGCTACCAGCATGAGTTTGACCAAACTGCAGGAGGCAGTGAAAGACAGGAGTGCCTGGCATGCTCTGGTCCATGGGGTCACGAAGAGTTGGACACGACTAAACGACTAAACAACAACAACAGCAGAAGCAGTATCTAGGAACCAGGCAGTATCAAAGCTCCGCTCAGCTGTTCCCCCTGTTTTTCCCCATGGATGGAGGCATACGATAGACATGATAAGAGTGCAGAGAACAGCATATTACACACACTCTCTCATTCATTTGCTCCAAGCCACACATATGAATGGGCTTCATATTGTCCAAATGATATTGAATTGTAAATAGGAGCTTTGATAGAGGTGGTCTGTCGCTTGAGCTGCTCATTTCTCTGTAACCTGCATAACTAGTCCCATTCAGCTGAATGGAACCTACTCTCAGAGGGAAGCCTTGTTCTTGCCCTCTGCTGTACATTGTAAAGGCCCTTGGCTGTGCACAATGATATATCTTTTTTTTAAAAAATGGAACCTGCTCCTGAGTAAATGCTTGTAGAACTGCAGCCCATAAAGACAAAACCATACCTGCAGCATGTTTTCATTGCGATGAGTTAGGGTATGCGCTCTGGGGGAGAAACGAGCAATTGTTTCAGGATTTTTCCAAGATACTGTTACGTTCAGCTAATTATAGGTCTCGCAGACTCAAAGAGTACCTATGCTAACATATATCACAACTGTATAGTGTGTGTGTGTGTGTGTGTGTGTTTTTCTTTGGGATATTGTTCCCAAAGGCTACAACCCTCAATAAACTAAGTTGGCAAAAATTCTAAACCAGAATGAATTTCTCATCCAGAGTCTTTGCCCAGGCCTCATCATCAATTGTATACCCTGAAGCATGTACTGTATAATTCCTCTGTTGGCAAGGTGCAGGATAAATAATGGAAATAATATACATATATACAGAACGAGTCTTGAACTGGAGGAAGGATTGCGTAAGAAATAAGCCGTGACCGTTGTAAATCTGTGCCCTGTGGCAGAGAACCTCAGGACCTAGGCCTGAATGTGGTCCTTCAGTCCTTGCTGTGTGGCCCTCAGAATTCTCCCCAGGCCACATCCCTCACTGGGCTGCTTCACACCCCAAACGGTTTTTAGAAATTGTCCCTGAACTCCGATAATGACTTTTGTTTGCCTGGATAAAAGATAGAGAGGTGTGTGAGCGTATGTAGAAACTTCCCTACTGTACAAAGGTAACATGCTTTCCCATTCTCTGGGTGCCACACCCTGATGGACCCCGTCAGCTTCCTGGCATCTCCAAGCTCCTTCTGCCTCCTTCTACACTCAAGTATGTTTCCGAGAGAACTAGAGATGCCCAAAACTTTGTGTGTCCTCGCCACACAGTTTGAGTAATTTGTGTGTGTGTGTGTGTGTGTGTGCGTGTGTGTTAAGGGACGCAGGTGGCGCTGTGGGTTAAACCACAGAGCCTAGGACTTGCCGATCAGAAGGTCGGCGGTTCGAATCCCCACAACGGGGTGAGCTCCCGTTCCTCGGTCCCTGCTCCTGCCCACCTAGCAGTTCGAAAGCACGTAAAAGTGCAAGTAGATAAATAGGTACCTCCAGCGGGAAGGTAAACGGCGTTTCTGTGCGCTGCTCTGGTTCACCAGAAGTGGCTTAGTCATGCTGGCCACATGACCCAGAAGCTGTATGCCGGCTCCCTCGGCCAGTAAAGCGAGACGAGCGCCGCAACCCCAGAGTCGGCCACGACTGGACCTAATGGTCAGGGGTCCCTTTACCTTTACCTGTGTGTGTGTTAACAAATACTCAGAAGTGCATGCTTCTAATAAAACACCTGTCTGTCACTACTGTATTTATTTAAGAGCATTTCTAAGCTGCTTAGTGTTTTAGAAATGGCTATGTGGTGTGCACTCTGAAAGGTGGGGTGTGAGGAGGGAGGGTTCTCATCTTGCAAGAGCCACTTGGAGACTTGTGGTACACCTCTGCATGCAAAGAGCCATTTCACTCTCCTGTGGGGTTCCTGCCATTGTCAGGGGTCGGTGTGGTGGTAGTGTTGGTGGGGGTGAGCTTTTGCCCTCACTGGAATGTTGTTCCCAGAGTGAACAGCAACCATTCCATTACTTGGGAGAAAGGGAAGTTTTCAGCTAAGTTTTACTCAGAGAAGACCTATTGAAATAATGAGCATGTCTAAGGCTGCGTACACACTAAGCACTTCAGGCAGCAATGGGGAATCTGTGACCCTCCATAAATGGTTAGACTCTACCGCCTCTCAGTCCCTGAGGCATATCTGACCTGCCATTTGAGGCAGGCACACCTCCTCCACCGAGCCACATTCCCTTACTTGAACTGGGACCAGTGGTGGACGTACATTTTGGGGCCCCAAACTGTCATGAGGGGTCCTTCACAACCAGCAACGAGGTCTGCGTAACCACTGTTATCTTCGTCAATGGGGTTGTTCCACGACAGATCACCAGACCTTTGCAACACCTGTGCTACATTCTTAAAACAGAAAATGAATCAATTAGAGTTGTGCGACTCAAATTGGATCTACAAGACCCAGTTTTTTAAAGCAATGTGGACCAGAATTGCTTCTGGGGGCCCTCTGGGATTAGGGGCCCTGCAGCTTAAGCTTCATGTATTCCATAATAGTTCCGTCCCTGACTGGGACTTGCGTCCTGTTTTGGCTGCCCTGTTCCAGTCCCCTCCCTAAGTAAAGGTGCACGCCTCCCTTGTTCTCTTGTAATGGCAATGGCACCCACTTCAGAGGTGCCAGAACTGAGTTCCGGCGAGTTTTGGCTGAAAAAGAAAAGTATTGGTTTTATCCCTTGTTCTTTGTGTGGGCTCCCTTTGGGAGGAAGGACAACATATAATAAATTCAATACAGCAAGGAAAGAAGGGCCTCACCTTGTGGAAGGGGGAGGGGTGGCAGGTGGTTCCCATTAACGCAGGAGAGGCCCTCTCCTTGGCAGCAAATGGCGCACAAAGAGTCTCTCCCCATTGGGGAGCGTGGGGCCTGTCCATATGTACCACGACCCCTGGCAAGCATTGACATCATTCGCAGCCAACGAGAGGCCCTTTGGGACATGTTCCAGGTTGATGGGAATCCTCCGCCAAGTGCTATTGCCTTCTCCAGCTAAGCATCAGGAAAGGGACAACCACAGTGGAAGGCCAGGCTCACACTGAACTCTTAAAAAACCTGTTTAATCTCGACTGAGGGCAATCAGGAGGCGTCAGCAGCATCCCCAGTCCCTGAAGGCATGGCTCCACTCCATACCCATGGTGTGATTCCTGAAGGATGTGGAAACGAGATAGTGTCATGTACCTATTGCTTTCCAGTCTTCACGTCCTTCAGGATTTATGGATACTGACCTCTACTTCAAACCATGGACTGGGCCTGGAAAGTGCTAGCAATTTGTTTTTAATGGCTCATGAGGCACAGATTAAATGCATTTTTCTCAACGAGGCTATATACGTTGCTGTTGTTGGAATCCTTCTCGCCGAGGGGCGTATAATCCACTTATCTTGCAAATTGTTATAATGGGGCCGTTTTATAGTTGTTAACTCAAGGCACACAATGTTTTTGATTAAACGAATCGTGTCTATTGAAAGCCGTATCCCTGGTCCAGATGTGAGCATCTGCATGAAGCCACCGTCAGTAAGCAGCTGCCTCGGCTCTTTGAAAGCACCTTAATATTTCCGATTTGCATTTTGCCAGTTACAACTAGGCAACAAGTTCTGTTTGGTTGCTAGAAATGTGCAAAAAAAAATAAAAATCGCCTAACGGTTTTGCGAAAGTTTTGCACGTTTAAACACAGAAATGCAAACCGTTTCCTATATTTCATAGAATCATAGAGTTGGAAGAGACCACAAGGGCCATCGAGTCCAACCCCCTGCCAAGCAGGAAACACCATCAGAGTACTCCTGACATATGGTTGTCAAGCCTCTGCTTAAAGACCTCCAAAGAAGGAGACTCCACCACACTCCTTGGCAGCAAATTCCACTGTCGAACAGCTCTTATTTTGGAGGCTGAGGACCATTGCTTACGTAGCTAAAACGCTACCATCTACACACTTCTGTAGGACTCACTTCTGTTTTCTTAAAGCTCAAGAGCCTCAGTGTTTCTGGAGAGCCAGTGTGGTGTAGTGGTCAAGAGCGGTAGTCTCGTAATCTGGGGAACCGGGTTCGCTTCCCCGCTCCTCCACATGCAGCTGCTGGGTGACCTTGGGCCAGTCACGCTTCTCTGAAGTCTCTCAGCCCCACTCACCTCACAGAGTGCTTGTTGTGGGGGAGGAAGGGAGAGGAGAATGTTAGCCGCTTTGAGACTCCTTCAGGTGGTGATAAAGTGGGATATCAAATCCAAACTCTTCTTCCAAATCATATATCAGACACACTGAAGCATGTTGGAAAGAAGTGCACATGTATCAAGTACTCCGTGCTCCTTGGTATGGAGAGGTCCCACCCAGCCCTAATTCCTCCAAGACAGGGAGCAAGAACTTCTTCAAAGGTAGCCTGTTTGGAAGCCTCACAATGATCTAAAATCCACTGTCCCTTGACTCCTAAGTGACTAAGCAAAGGAGAGGGGAGGATATCAGCAATTCCTATATTAACTGATCTATCTGGCAGCTGCAAGGCAGCTGCCTGTTCTTTGTTCTGGGAGTTGTTTGAGAGACTATATATGTATCTTTCTGCATGTTACCTCTCCAATTTTATTCTGGTGGGTGGATGGGTGGGGGGAACTTTGCCCCAGGTATCAAAACTCTGGGAAGCGTCGCTGTACAGGTAGACACATGAGTCATGGGCAGATGGCCGTTGGCACTACCTGGAGTTTTTTGACTGGGTAATTTGAGGCTGGTTTTCTTATGCATGCCCATCATGATTTCTTAAGCTTACGTTTGCTCGACACTTGATGGCTCCTGGCTGAATGCTTGAACTGGATCCAGTGGAAAACATTGCAGCTGAGCTGATGTAAAAGTCCAGCCCGTGGCTGTGTTGTGGCAGATTTTTCTCTCATTTAAACCACCACTAAGATACATATGCATGGGGGAACCAACCAACCAACCAACCAACCAAGGTTTATCATTATTTCTTCAAACTCAAGAAGATTGAAAATAAATGAATGCCAAAAACCCCTCACTGTTTACACAGCAAGAAAGTGACCTAATTAAATGGTTTAACACAAATAATATTTAGAGCTAGAGCTTCAGTAGTCCTAAGCAGTTTTGAGGGGGACTACATTGGCATCGACCTGTTGTACCTTAGCTGTAGCTTGAAGGCTCTGCTGGAGTGCTCACCTGCAATGGCTATTTGGCCAACAGGCACCCAAAACAGTGTCATTTTGACACTTAACTTCACGGTTGTGGAATTTTAATTCTGCGTGAGCTCAGGCAGGCTCCAGCTTCAATATTTTTAAGAGAGTCTCAATGACCCATCATTTTACATGGCCTCTAGCAGGTAATTATGACCTGAGCTGGAAAAATTGTGCGTGTTCTGGTTTTGAAAATGCTTATTGGCCGCTGGGTTGTTGTTATATTTGTTCTGGCTTTTTAACAGAACTGAAATGTATGTTTTAACTCGGGGGTGCCTAACATTTTGCAGACCAAGGAGTTCACTGTCGACCCAGCCTCTGTGGGGCACATGCCTGCAGAGGGTGTGAACATAACAAAAGTGAGTGTTGCCGAAATTGGCACCCCACTTCTCTGCTCACATGCTTGCACAAACACACAGAAGGAAATATGGCCAGAATATTCTTTGTACTTTTTACTACAACACACAAGCAAGCAAGCCTACCTCTCTGGAAATTGCTGGTATAGGCCCTCTTAAATGTTACTTAGATTTACAAGTTTACTTCATACTTCACTAGGTGTCTTGGCAACATCCTCCAAAAATTCCTGAAATATTATTCTGAAAGAACTTTGAATCAATTAATATCCTTCTGTCTCTTCATAGAAATTAGACAGCCGGATGGCTTTAAAGAAGTTTCTGACAACACATTTATATCTTGAGTTTCAATAGCAGTAATCCTTACTTTTGAAATTAAGACATTAATAAAAGGATTAACTTTGAATCCCAATAATTCCTGCAGGTTTCTTAGCGTCTATTCTTCTGTAAACAGTATCTGAAATGTTTGCCAACTCATAGCCATGGCAAAATGATGTCACTCGGCTTCACACAGTCGTCCTCAAAATCCACAGATAGTTTTGTATTCTCTGAGATTCTTGAGTTAAGAAAGCACTGATAACACTTTTCCTCATGAACCAGTAGAACAGGATATCAGGTCTGACAGAAAAGACTCAAATTTATTCCTTGTTTAATTCATGCTTGAACTCGAATTTTCAGGATGGTTTCTTCATGAGAGGACATCACATGGTTATTTATAACTTCTGAACATCTCAGTCACTTCTATGATCAATCAAATACCATCTGCTGCTGTGACTAACTTAGTTCAGTGTCCAAGCACGCAGAAATAGAAGCTTCCTTAACCGAAGGGTGGGAAAAGACAGCTTCAAAATTAATGTATAAACTTATTTTACAGACCCCTACTACTTAAAAATACTTCAGATCCTCAAGCTTTTGCCTAAACACAAAGAAGATACATTAAATGTATTGACTGCCGCTACTGAAATACATCACTACTTTATTTTCCAAAATTTCAGGTTGTCAGGGCTAACTCTGTCTATAATGGATTGTCATGGCATGTATTTTCACAGCTTCCCCCCTCCATTATTTGAATGTTCAAGTCATTTGGATAAATTGGTTTGTGCCGCAATGCAAGTTTGCCTGGTGTTTGCCAGTGGGATATGCTATTTAAAAATGATTAGCGACAGAAATGAAATAAACGCTTTTCTTCCCTGGTTTCCAAGGCCTTCTGGACTTTCACTATCAGACACTCTGTTTGTCAGTGGCACCTGCTATTTAAAAACGATTTGCATTCGGAATGAAATAAACATTACATATGTAGTAAGTCACCCAGGCCGACACCACACCAAAAAGCTCTTCCAGCTCAAACACTGCAGTTTGGGCTTCAGGTTAACAATGTAGTGGAAAGAAAGAAAAGGGGGAATGCAAACTCTATCGCCGTCTCTAGGCTTTGGAGAGCCTGTGGACACCACACTCCCTCAGTGGGGCAACCTCTTCACTGTCATTGTCACCAGCTACTGCTCCTCTTCTCATTGCTAGCACTTGCTTGCTTGCCAAGCAAAGAGCCAATGAGCAAGCAGTAAGTGGCACCTACTGCTCCTCCTGTTGTTTGGGCCAAAACCAGAGGTGGGTGTGCAAGTGAGCAGGTTGCAATGCTATAGAGGAGGAGGTGGTTTAGGAGATTCTTGTCAGTGGGGCCCCTGCTGGGGTAGGCGCTTAGTAGATGCCAGACCCTCAAAGTGCCCCTATTTTCCAGGGACAGTCCTGGGTTTACAGAGGCCGTCCCGGTTTCTGTCCTGCTTTTCCTTAGGACAACTCTGTTTTCAACAGAGCCGCAAAAAGATCCCATTGAGCACATGGATTGACAATATGGACAGACTAGTTACATACGAACAAACTGCATATCGGCGCAAATTAAGAATGGATAAATATGAAGAAATCTGGAAGGAATACTTAAGCGACAAGGCGGAAAGTGGTGGGAAGTAGGAGGAGGAGAGATGGGGAAATATTGTTAAAAAGGTGTAGTTATAGGTATATCAGTACTCAAATCTGAATTGTTAAATTGTGTTAATAGTGTTATTGTGGTTTTTGTTGTATGTGTTTTTTGTGGTTGCTGTTTTCGTTGAAAAAATGATTAAATTTGAAGGGTACGGTAGGATGTCCCTATTTTTATCAGAGAAAAGTTGGAGGGTATGGAGTTATTCAACCCCCAAGCCATCTGAAGGCAACCCTTTATATGGAAGGGTGTGTTTTTTTTAAAAAAAAGTTTGATATTTTATTATGTTTTTATGTATGTTGGAAGCTGCACAGAGTGGCTGGGGCAAACCAGTCCACTTTGGAATTCAGGTTTGATGGATTCCTCCCACATCTGTAGTTTTTAGTGTGTGTTTCTGGATGTTGCCCCAGTATATCTCGTTTCAAACCCCGACGGCCAAACTAGCTGTAATGGCCACAGGCCTGTGTGCAGAATGTCAGCTGCCAAATCTGAATGAAGCGTCAGCGTTGTGGCAGATTTAAAGTACAGCATAAGCCAGTCTTCCCCTTATCTAGTCAAGGCTGGTAATCAACGGTGTTGATTTTGAGCTAGGTTGTCCTCCCCGCCTGCCCAAGCTAGCCCAACAGCGTCCTGTTGTCAGTGTTGAACTAACTGTACATGAAATGGGGGGAGTGGGGAGGCAGGTTCTTGCCCCTTGCTTTAGATAGCAAAATGTCTTTAGTAAGCACTGCTCACATTTTAGTGAGGAAGGGCTGCAACTCAATGATAGCGCATCTGCTTTGCATGCTAAACGTCCTTGGTTCAATCGCTGCAGTCTCCTGGTAGGGTTGGGAAGGGCCACTGTTTGAAACCCAATGCTATTCACTCCCCCCCCATACAAACATTCACTGGGAGAAAGAAAGAAAGAAAACTTCTATAGAAAGACAGGATGTTTTGAATGGATCATTGTGGATGGGAGTGGTTTTGGCTCTGTATCCCATATATTATAGGAGAATGGCAGGATCCACCTGGGCTCGGTGGCTACTGTGCTTGCTTGCACACTAATGGCATGGCAGATCCAGGAAAACCAGAAGAAGAGGCTGCTACCTCTTTTGCAGCAGTGGTCTTACTCCTCCTCATTAATGTTCAGGTTTAAGAGACACACCCTTCTCACTAATGAGCCAGATTCTTACCATTTACGTTACGGTAAATATATCCCACCAGTTGCAACACGTAAAGCGTTTTAATATTTAGCAAAAAGAGCTGTGTTGGGTTTTAAAAACTTATACATGTGTTGTACTGACATTATGTTTCCCACTTTTTATTTAATTATTCTACACAAAATTTGATTGACATACATCTTTAGTTTGCAGACCAAAAAAATAATAATAATATGAAAATCACCGCACTGGAATGCCTTCAAGCAACAACCACCCATGTTGGCAGCCTATTAAATTGCTATTGCAATCTTGACAACCCTCCAGATGAACATCAAACCTTCCTACAGTTCCTCCGGGGCTTGGGAGGGGGTACCCCCCCCAAGAACGTAATATTAAGAAGAATAAACCTTGAATGCTCCATTACTCCCTCCAGCTTTGTAGCTAATTTAAAATCTATTGATCCTGGTGCCAATACATCAACTCTACTTAGAGGATAATTTGATAGCAAAAAAACATCCCTATTTCTTGACTAGCAGATGTGGTTATCACAACTCAGCCTGCAAACATTGTTTAGTGTGGTTGTGTTTCTTCAGTGCCGGAGACTGTATTATGTGACACTGAGGTATCGCTTAAAGGCAATGGGTGGGGGCCGAGAGAGACAGTATTCAAACGACATGGGAGATTTCCGTTTATATTAGCCAGCAAGACACCATCCACAGCAAACCTTTAAAGCTAGGGATGCCATATTTCAAGAGCTTTTTTGGATCGATTGTCCAAAGTTGTTGAACTTTTCTTTGGCGGATGGCAGCATAGCGAAGGGGCTTCTGGGAATTCTGGGGGGTTTGTTAAGGGCTGCTGGGAATAATAATTCTGAGGGGGGGGAAAATGTGTTTAAAAGTTATAGTATGTATGCAGCTCTGTATAGCTTCAAATGCAGAAACTGATTTGGTGGACACTGTTCCATCTGTGACTCAACTCGCCGTATCTGGGAAGAATTAGGTTCTGGGGATCTGGAAGGAATTAATGAAGCAGACCTTGGACTAGATCTTAAGGGTTATATCCATAATGATGGCGTTCAAGAGCCCAGTGTTATGGACTATTACTGCCATTAATGGCACATGAGCACCCAGGTGTGTGTCTGCTCTCCACGTTTTTTGTTTACCACGTGTATGGTTGATTTTCTCCTCCTGGTCTGTTCTTCCAATGCTTGCCAGCACTGATTTACAACCTGTTCAACAGGCAGCTTGCATTCGCGGAGAGGGTATTGCCTGACTTGTGCAATTGGGAGGAGCACGTGACCATTCTCAGCACAGCCAAGCACTTGCAAAGCTCACGGCTTGTATGAATTCTGCCTGCAGTCTGTGTGGCTTCAGATTCCTAGCGATCCTGCTCAGGCCTGTGAGTTGGCACAGGAATGGGATCAAATGCTACAGTCCTTCCTAAGACTCCTTCTTCCTGCTGCTTCTGCTGCAAACCCTGCTGCTCCCACAACCATAACAAGGAGAAAATAGCTTCTGTACACTTACTGTGGTCAGGGCATGAAGGAGCAAGTCGCACTTGTCCTCAGCATCTTCTCTGACTGCAGATTTTCAGATGTCCAGGCACCTGTCATTAGAGAAGGACAAGTGCATCAGTTTCAGCTACTCATTTGCCGTATTTCTGCATCTGTTTGAGAAAGTTGGGTGAGCATTCTGGTGCACATTTATCCTGATGTACACATTCTTCTATGCAATTTTGCCTAGCATACACATTTTTGCAAGCAAAATTGTTAATTAAATTTCTATACTGTCTTTCATCCAAAGGTCACAGGGCAGTTTACAGTATAAAAACACAAAAATGCATACCATAATAACAAACAAAACAATAACCTCCACACCACACACCAGATTTAAAGACCATAGATTGTTTAATCAGCATATTTTTGCCTGGTGCCTAAAGATATGTAATGAAAGTACCAGGCAAGCCTTGCGAGGGAGAGCATTCCACAAGCGGGGAGCCACTGCAGAAAAGGCTCCGTTCTCATGTTGCCACCCATATGCAGATGACACAGCTTGGCCCTATCCTGTTCCTACAAACAATGATTAGCGAATGGGGACTTCCCCCACCTTGAGCCAAAACCAACCTACAGAAAACTGCCTGTCAGCCCTCCTAAGAACATAAGTAGAGTTCTTCTGGACTGGACCAGTGGTCCATCTAGACTGCCATTTTGTTCGATTCCTATGGAAAGCCAGCAAGCAGGACCTGAGCTCAACAGCACTCTGCCCACTTGTGATTCTTAGCAATGAGCGCTCAGAGGCACGCAGCCACAATTGGTGGAGCGAGAGTCTTGTCCTCCATTCGTTTTCCTAATCCTCTTTTAAAGCAAATTCCGTAACCATGCACGGTGTGAAGAAGTACTTTATTTTGTCTGTCTAAAGCCTTCCAATGTTGGTTAGGTTGCCGCAGTTCTTGTATTATGAAAGAGGGTGAAAAAACCTCTCCCTATCAGCTTTCTCCATGACATGCAAAATCTGATGTTTATTCTAAACTAAAAAGGCCGAAAAGCTGTAACCTTTCTTCATAGGAAAGTTGCTCCAGTCCCTTGATCACTTTGGTTGCCCTTATCTGATCCTCTCCAGCTCTTCCAGTGTTTTCCCGGTGGCTTCAAGGAACACTTTAGCCTCAGCCAACCCCCTATCAAGCTTTGAGAGGGAAGAGGAATTTCCAGACAGATACAAGCTCTGCTATACACACATTCTTTTCTTTCCCACTCCCATTCTGTATTGTTGAACGTTTCAAATGTTGTGTCCTTTGTAGTACTCTGCATAGCCTTCTGAGTCTGTACGCCATTACCACCCACCCTTCATCAAGGTCTCTGGGTACGGCTTCAATACGAAACACATCCCAGAAGCAGCGTGGAAAAAAAAGTTCCTTTCATGAGACGCGTCAGCAATTGGCATTACAACAAGATAAACCACCCTGTGTGAAATTTAAAAGAGGACTCATAATGCGATGCAGGACCACCCAGGACCGGTGCTGCTTCCTGACAATTTAAATGCATATGCCATAATTGCACCAATTTCCAGTGCAGCAGGCTTAGGCTGATTCGCTTCATTCCACCTTTCCTCATGCACTTCAAGATTGCTAAGAGCAGAAATAATAAAATACAACAAAGGCCAACGGAACAAAAAAATTAGAGATCAGCAAATAACCCCCAATCCTAGCCGCAATAAAAAAATATTCTAGGTACAGTAGGATTATATGCCAGTTAGAAGCCAAAAGCTGTGGTCTAACACTGGGTTAAACCACATAGCCTAGGACTTGCCGATCAGAAGGTCGGCGGTTCGAATCCCCGCAACGGGGTGAGCTCCCATTGTTCAGTCCCTGCTCCTGCCAACCTAACAGTTCGAAAGCACGTCAAAGTGCAAGTAGATAAATAGGTACCGCTCTGGTGGGAAGGTAAGCGGCGTTTCCATGCGCTGCTCTGGTTTGCCAGAAGCGGCTTAGTCATGCTGGCACATGACCCTGAAGCTGTCTGCAGACAAACGCCGGCTCCCTCGGCCTATAGAGCGAGATGAGCGCGCAACCTCAGAGTCGGTCACGACTGGACCTAATGGTAAAGGTCCCTTTACCTTCACCTTAACACTGGGGTAGAAGGCAGGCATCCGATGTGTGCTATGCAGAAAGTTCAGGTCGAGTGGCCCCTCCCCAGTGCGCCCCTGATGTGCAACTAGCTCAGGTTTTCCAAAAATCTGCCAGTGCAGCCTCAGAACAGCTGAATGAACCCTTTTGTTCATATTGCACTTTTGATCTGAATGGAAAATAAGGCACCAGAACATACTGGAAACAAAGCAAAATATTGTTATGTGGGAAGGGAGCCATGAGTGCAATCACAAGGTATGGATACGTATCTGGTGATAATTTTGCAGATAGGGCACATTTAAAGTGAATTTCCTGGTGGAGGATGAAAAGAGAACGAGAAGGGCAAGGAATAAGGGAGGGCGCTATAGGAAAATGAGGACGAGAGAAAGAAAGAACTACATTTTATAATATTGTTTTTAAACTTTAAATATTGAGCGATTTAGAGATGGTTTTAGATAAGCAAATGTCTCAAAATGACAGCCTTGACTAGCGAAGAATGTATTATTATCGGCTAATGCATTCTTCACTAGAAGGAAGAGTTGTAGCTCAGTGGTAAGGTTCCTGCTTTGCATGCGTAAGGTCCCAGGCGCGATCCCTAGTTGTTGTTGACATCCGTCTGTCTCGAGCGACAATGGAGTGTGCCTCCATGGGTGAAGTCTGCTGTAGCGGCACCGAAGTGACCTCTTTGGGGCAAAAGCCTGGGCAGTGTGTATGGAGGTCCTGGGCTGCCCAGATGACAAGACCCTCCCCTCTTGACTTCGTGGATGTGGTCCAAAAGAAAGCAGAGCAAGACGTTTGGCACCAGCTTGGCTGCAGGACTTGCTGGGAGGAGGTGTACAAGGCACCATCCAACCATCTTAGGGACTCTGCTCCGGATTTGTGTAGAGTTTACTCCTTAGCCTTTTCTTCTCCTGAAGCTATCCCACAGGCAGCAGAGATTTAGGTTCCAAGTTTTCCTTCTCCTAGATGGGCTACCTTCCCAGGCTGACAACCCCCATCTGCCCCTCACTTCCTTCTACAGCATGGGCAGAAACTGCCTTCTTGACCGTTGGACCCACTATTGGTCTCATCCACTCAATCTGTCAGAGCCTGTCTTCACATGTAGGGAAGTCTCTAACTCACTGAGGGCTTAAGACCTGTCAACTACCCTCACCTGGCTTAGCCAAATCTGAAGGCAGCCCTGTTTAGGGAAGTTTTTAATGTCTGATGTTTTATTTTTTATTATTACTATCATTGATTCTGTTGGGATCCACCCAGAGTGGCTGGGAAACCTGGCCAGATGGGCGGGGTATAAATAATAAATTATTATTATTATTCTAAGCTACAGTTTTCAGGATTCTTTGGAGGGAGCTATTTGCTGTAAATGTTCTTTAAACATAGGTCGTGGGTGTGACCTTCAACTCTAAATTAGAACAGAGAAGAGATTAGAACACCCAAAGGAATTAAGTGATGAAGGTAAAAGTCCTCAAATTCCACATTGACATAGGAGAAACAATTCCATTGTCACCACACATGAAAAATACAGGCATTTGTTTTTGGGGGGGGGGGGAGGAAAAGGTTAATTTTGAAACGCCTCTTCTGCACTGATAAACACTTCTTCTCATTTTATGGTTATTTTACCACATCTGCTTCTGATGAAGGTCTTCTTCAGAGTCACCTGACTTGCATTGAAAACAGGATACTGGATTAGACTGACAGCTCATTTGAGGCAGGAAAGATGCCGAAAGTTTCAACACAAAGAATGGAATAAGGAAAATTGGCCCCCTGTGTTTTGCTGGCTCCGTTTTTTACACTACACATGTACATTACAATCCCTTTTTGATGCTTACCTTGTGATAAAACAACACAGAATTGTGAGAATCTTGGCAAGCATCTTAAGGCTCAAAATATTTTTGCCAAAACTGGGGGGGAGAGGGAGAGAGAGAGAGAAAGAAAGAAATGTGATGTCTATATTTTTTAAAAATCAACAAGCAAACAACAACTATGTTTCTGTTATAGACACCGGAATCATGATCCACACATATGATGAGTATACCTTGTGTGTCTGGAATCTGATGATCACTCAGCTTAGAAATTTTTGGCCGTCATCTGCTCCCTAGTGGAGAATTTACCTCATGATACTGTTTTTCCTTCTTCTTTCCGTGACATGTTTTGGCACATCGAGCTTTGTCCATAAACACCTTTGGTCAGTTCACCTGATAGAATAAGAAACTAGCTTCTACCTTAGAACAAACTTACCAAGGGAGGAATAGAAGAAATCTGGGGGCAGCGGAACAATTAACCTGTTCCTGTAACGAGGCAAGATACTCTGTACAGGGTTTCCCAGTGCATAGCACTCCCAGAAAGAAGTGTTGTTGTCAAAGGTGAGACCAATCAAGTAGGGGCGAAGAAACCCTGTGTCCCTCCCTGTGTTGTTAGACTACATCACATCACCCCAGGCTATTTGCCATGCTGGCTAGGGCTAATAGAAGTTAAAGTCCAACAACATCTGTGGAGTCGTGGGTTCCCCATTCCTGGATTAAGGGGGAATCTAAAGCTGGTTGAGTTTCCTAAAGCAGTCAGGAGGAGTGAGATGGATGGAATGGAAAGATGGAAAGCAGAGAATGACCTTGGGTAAGGGGGCAGAAATTGTTCTGTAATGGCGTTCTGGGTGATCCTCCTTTAATATGCAGGCTGTTTGATAAAGGGAGTTTGTTGTTGTTTTAATTAATCTCCATATCACTTCTCTAACCAGAAGTCTGTGCCAAACCCAAGCCGTTCTCATGTGGACCTCATGTACCTTAACGTACCTACATAACAGCCTCAGTTCCTACAAATGAAAAATGGAAATAACAGAGAGGTTCTGTGAGAGTAAATAAAGAGTAAAACTAACACCTTAGGCCAAGAAAAACACTCTGTAAATGATACATTAATGAAAACCAGAGGGAACAGTTTGCCTCTTGCTGACAGCACATGAGACGTGTGGCGAATTTATGGGCCTCCAACCCGCACCAACCGAAGCCTGTATGGCCATAGTTTGGGACGGTAGGTCAGCAACACCTGACACAGGAGGATCAGAAAAGTGATGAGAATCAAAGAATTGTTGAGTTGGAAGGGACCCCAAGGTCTGAGCCCCTGGAATGCAAAAATCTCAGCTAGATCATACATGACAGACGGCCATCCAACTTCTGCTTAAAAACCACCAAGGAAGGAGAGTCCACCTCCTTCTGAGGGAGTCCGCTCCATTGTCTAACAACTCTTGCCATCAGAAAGTTCTTCCTGATGTTTAGTTGGAATATCCTTTCTTGTAACTTGAAGCCATTGCTTTGAGTCCTAGTCTCCAGAGCAGGAGAAAACAAGTTTACTCCATCTTCCATGTGACAGCCTTTTAGATCTTTGAAGATGGCTATCATCTCTCCTCTCTGTCTCTTATCCAGACTAAACAGACCCAACTCCCTCAACCATTCCCCATAAGGCTTTGTTGCCAAATCCTTGATCATCCTGGTTGCCCACCTCCACACATGCTCCAGCTTGCCAATATCTAAATTATGGCACCCAGAACTGGACACAGTACTCCAGGTCTGATTAACGCAGAGTGGAGCAGGACTATGGCTTTCCTTGATCGGGACAAATACTTCTATTGATGCAGCCTAGAAGAGCATCAGCGTTTTTGCTGCTGCATCAAACTGTTGACCCGTGTTAGATTTGTCATCAAGGCAATGGGACACAATCACCCACCATATCTGATGGGCACCAAACTAGCCTAGTGAGCAGGTCTCATGTCCTCCAGCAGCTTGCCACTCCACCTTGTGCCTGCTTGCTCAAGAAGATGGTGCAGTTTGTAGCTAATGAGCAGAACAACACATGCAAGAAATGCCTGCAGGAAAGCATGATCTGAGCTAGCTGCCACTTAGCCTGCTGACTATGCCTTTCCCAACCTTCCTGTGGTACACATTGGAAGACGATGACATGCAAGATAGGCAGCTAAGCAAATATTGCCGCCTCAGCTCATGAGAATGGGAATAGCCAGAGGCACATGTGGGTGGGTGCTCAGTTGCTGCCGTTCCACAGATTCTGTCACCTGAGGCAGCTGCTTCATTCTGCCCAATGGTAGGGCTGACCCTGATCTCCTGTGACTCCGGAGCAGTGTTAGAAACTGAGATATGAAAGCTAGGAGCTAAATGGCACTTAAACTTAAGTTGTGGGCGCCACAGCAGAATGCCTAGGCACGCTTTTTTTATAAGAATACAAAGCTGAAAATGAATGAACTGCAGCTAAAGTCTTATATTTATTTTTCACATGGTCTAGTCCTCATATGAAGACTGCAAAAAACAAAGCCATACTTCCCCTGCCCGCCTCCCTAATATTCTTATGAGGGTCCCTTCTCCCATCCTCAGAGAGTGGCTGGAAGTGGGGAGGCAGAAAAAGGTCCTCCTTTCCTTCCACTCTACAGTTTTAATCTGAAATCTTAGGCGCTGTACTGCTCCAAGAGCTCAGAAACATTAATGAAATTCCCCGTCGCAAAACGTGCCTAGAACAATGGGAGTTTCGAACGCTGCTCCAGAGGGAAGGCTATTCCAGGCTCAACAAACTTTTTATTAAAGCCGAGACACAGTGAACACAGCCGCTCCCACCTAGAGCACAGTGGACATGCTGATGTCCCCATAGAATTTAGGTTACCCATCGCTAACTTGCTTGCTTTTCAGTCAGACAAGCGCGGCTACTTTTTGCTGGAGCAGGGCCAACAGGTCTACAGTGACAGTTGCAGAAGCAACCATAACATTATTTATGTGCCAGCTCTCCACACCTGTGCCAGAGTTAGGGAACAGATAAATACAGCACAGGGAGGAGTGTGCTCTTGGATTGCATCCAATGCAATGATGCACAAGTAGCTGGAATGTTTGGCCAATCTAAACACACTAACTGTTCACCTAAGGCAGGGGGCCTTTTTCCTTCCACAATGATAGATATATGGTTCTGTCCTCCAAATGTGTATATGGAGAGGAAAGTGAAGAAAATAGCGATTATATTGTTTTCTCTAATGCCTGCATCTAGGTAGGTTTGTTGGGGTTTTTTGCTGCGCAACCCAAAGTTGCACAGCTCAAACCACATCGATTTAATGAGAAAGTTCAGCATACGGTTCACTCTCTCCTGCGGAAATCAATAGGACGTTTAAAAAGTGCCCCATGTTGCTTGGATTGTGTTCTAAAGCAATGAGAGAAAGAGACAGAGAGAGAGAGAGAGAGAGAGAGAGAGAGAGAGAGAGAGAGGGAGAGATCCCTTCCCCATCCCCATACAGTAACTTGTCTCAGCTAGTCTACTTGCTGGAAGGAATATTCAAAGCGAGTTCACTGCTTGCTGGTTAAGAGTTATAATCACTGCTTCAACTATGTTGAATTTAAATGTAAGATACGGGTATGTGATTAAAAAAAAGATATTTTTTTTTAGCACATATGCAGCCACAGTTGCCTTGAGATTTAGGGAAAGCTCTTAATTTGACACGGGCTTTTGAAACAAATTTCTAGAAAGGTAGTTAATGTTTTCTGCGAAGACCACACCGCCGCAGCCACACCTCAAAACTTCAGAGATATTTAATTTGTTCAATCCCTGCAGCATATACCATGTTGTAGCAGCAGCAGCATTAATGCTGGGCTCCCCCCACCTCCCCGCTATCCTACTTCAGAGCAGGATTTTTAACTCTTTCCTCTCCCAATACATGAGAGAGAGAGAGAGAGAGAGAGAGAGAGAGAGAAGATTAATGAACCTTATCAATTTTCTGTTGTGCCTTAGGTGAGCTTCTTAGATGCCAACTTTTTAGATTTTAATATGGGAGACTTAAGGATTTCCCAGAATGTTTTACATATGTAACAACAAAGCCCCCTCAAAAAAACACACAACAGGCTTGAAAAGGACAAGAAGGAACACATAAGAATAAGGCCACCAACTAGACATGGAAACCTAATATTAAGATGCTAAGGCTGCACTCATTTTCCTGGAAGTAAGCCCCATTGAACCCAGTGGAACACGCTCTTCGGAGCAGACTTGGGGCACACAGTGCTGTATAAGCAGAGCACGATTCCAAAAACTGGCTTTTTGAGATGGACATTTTGTCTTTCTGGAAATCAAAACTTTATACACTGGGAACAGGGAATCTTGGGCAAGACCTCCGAAAGCAAGATACATAGAAAGCCATCTTTATTTCTAGTAGAAAAGGGGCAGGGAGGCAGGGCAGGAGGCTAAATGAAATATCAGGCTGTGTGTTCTTCTTCTTCTTCCTCTATAATAGTGAGCAATTAACAATATTTTAACATAATTTTATGCTCACTTTTTAATGGAGAACCCAGACTACATTGTTCCCAGCGTGTTGTTTTCTGTCTCCTGTCATTTTTCAGATCTGATCTGAAGTGGTTCTCCTCCCCCTTTAAAAACAATTAAAATGCCGTGGTCAGTCAGCAAGGGCAACCAAGTAACTACCGAGACTGTTCAGGGCTACTGTGCCTTTCATTAGAAGCTTCCTTCTCTAGAAAGAGCAGCTTCCTCTGCCTCTTATTGCTTCCTGTTCAGCATAGCCTTGGGTTCAATGAACCCTGTAATGAGTTAGATCCTGTTTCCCGTAGGAATGGAGGATGGCTTTAATTACTGGTCTCATCTAATTTTTAGTTTATGCTGACATAGCACTATTTTGCAATAAAAAAGGGGGGAAGGAAACAAATGCTAACAGTAGTGAAATAATTTCCAGGGAACAGGAATGCACTACTTACAGGATAATTTCATCAGTAATGCTGGGCTTGCTCGTCTACTAAATAGTGTTGTTCAGCTTGACACAGCCTTAGAAACCATTTAATTAATATATATTTGCTAGTAGAGAGCCACAGAAAATTAGGCAACCATCCTCTGTACTGATAATGATTCATATGCATAGACAGAATTAATTAGCAGCAGTATCACTTCATCCATTTCCTTCTCCTTGCAAACAACATTTTTACAAATTGATATAGGCTTGATTAATTCATGCCTCCAGAAACCATTATTTTAAACCAAATTTAATGCACTAAATTCTTCCACATGCATACTCCCACCCACAAAATGAGAGACTTTCAGAGTAAGTTTAATGAAGAGCATTTCTCTAGCTGATCTGATGTATGTCTAGCTGATATAAATACCAACATTTTGTTGATTTCCCTTCACTTTTTCTTCTTGCTCATCAGGTAATCAGTGATTGGTTAAGAAGTCTACTGAACTAAACCAGTTGAACAATCTACTTTTAGAACAAAGGAGGAACAGAATTTATCAGGGCTTAATAAGAAGGACCTACTCAGAAGTAAGTCCTATTGAGTTTAGTAGGACTTATTCCCAGGTAATTGTGTTTAGGATTGCAGCATTAAGTCAACGTACTTGGGACTAAGCTATATTGAAATCAGTAGAACTTACTTCTAAAGTTGAAGCTACAGTCCTAATTACAGCTACTGGAGGGTAGAACTTACTTCAGACTAAACATGAATAGGGATTGCACCGTTAAATGTTTTTCTTGCAATTAACAACTGATGTTTCTTTTTCAGGTAATTTATCAGGATAATATGCTGCACATGGGAGAATGTAAATGGAGTCAAATGTTTCCTTTTATCATGGTAGGTATTTCAAGGACATATGTTTCAGAAAAGTTCTACAGTTATAAACCCTAGAAAATTAACAATAAGCATAATTTTAATTTTGTTAACCTGAGCAAACATTATTTAATATCTGCACAGTTGCTTCAGATGAAGTCCTTATCGACATCATCAGGATTTCTGCCCAAGAAAATATTTTGAAATATAATATGAAATCCAACTACTTTCTTAAAACTGTTGCATCTCAAGGATATCAGCAACAAGAATACCTTGTATTAGGAAAAACTGCAAACATGCAACCATTAGTCAAAATTGCAGACAGAGATGAAGATCATTAAGCAAAAAGCACACAAAAATGCACAATTTTATGCAGTGTGCTGGGTTTTTTTTAAAAAAAATGCAAAGTGATGTGGAAATTGGAGAAATGAAGACTGCAAAAACCAGAAACCAAAACGGACAGAGTTGTCCATTGCTAGAGAGTGACAAGGCATGGCAATAGCAGAGAGATTAAAAGTCAGAGTGGTTCACCCTCTGATATTATTGTTTTTAGGCAAATGTGATGCATTGACAACTAGAAAACTGGGCAATGGAATTAACCAGTATTTATCCTTTGGTGACAGGCGTCACTTGTTTATTCTGCTAATGCCGAATATTCCAACTGCGGCGAAAATGAGTACTACAACCAGACTACCGGAATGTGCCACGATTGTCCGCAATGTGAGCCAGGAGAAGAACCTTATATGGTGAGTTCTTCACATACTTGCAATCTTATCCTAGAGGTGGCCATAGGAACATCTGCACTGCACTGTGTTATCCATAGTGGTCCTTACACACTTCTGGAAGTCCTGTGTTGTTGTTTTTAATAACTGCTCAGCCTTCTTCCCTTTTCAATACTACCGAAAGAAGATCGGTACTGCTGAATATAGTCGCAATCCAACACACCACATGGTCCTGCAAGCGCTGTTATTTCTCATGCTCCATGCTCATTATTCTAAATTCCCCCCGCTGTCAGGAAAATGGTCACCACATGGCTGTTGCGAAGGAAACAGCCACCATGCTTCCAGGAGGAATGTTAAAGCAGTCTGGCACAGGCCAGCAGGGCAGAAACAATCTCTCTCCAAGGCACTTTCAGATAATTACACTGAATCAAGAAATTTTATTTGGCCTGTGTTCTGTTGTCCTCGTTGACATTTGCTTTTTAATGGGGACCATATTTCCAACGGAGAAGGGCTACACAGCATTGGCTTTGCCCTCTCCTGCCCCAGCTGAGGGGCTCTTTAAGACCCTCCCTGTAGAAGAAGAGGAGTTTAGATTTGATATCCCGCTTTATTACTACCCGAAAGAGTCTCCAAGCAACTAACATTCTCCTTTCCCTACCTCCCCCACAACAAGCACTCTGTGAGGTGAGTGGGGCTGAGAGACTTCAGAGAAGCGTGACTGGCCCAAGGTCACCCAGCAGCTGCATGTGGAGGAGCGGAGACGCGAACCCGGTTCCCCAGATTACGAATCTACTGCTCTTAACCACTACACCACACTGGCTCTCACCAGCCAAAGAGGTCCTGCCAGAGTCCTGTGCTTTATGTATCGCATCCTCCCCACCTCCTTTGATCAGGGTCTTGGCTCGTGAATGAGAGGAAGCAGTAGAGAGAGCCATAGCCCCTAAGGACTTTGACAGAGACTCTCTGTGGCTAGTGCAACACAGAGAAAGAGAAGGCTTAAGACACCCTTGAGTGAAAGTCGCTGGGGTGTTGTGCCATGTTCATTTCTATGACACCTATGGGGGAAAGGAAAGGAAAAGGAAAAGACCCAACCCCAAAAGGCAGCTCACAACAGCTAAACTACAAATTTCAAACAAGAAAATAAAATAGAGAAAACACGAAGAGGCAATAAACGTATTTTAAAATTTAATTGTTGTTCCTTTTGCAAATCTACAAAAAAAACAAACCCCGCATGCAAACGTTGCAAAAGTGAACGTTATTTAGAAAATAAAAGAAAACCAAGAACATCAAGGTTAAAAGCAATCAGCTCTGCTGTCGTTAAGTCATGGGTGGCGGTGGGGAGAAGCAAGAATAGAGACACTCCCCCAGGGAGGGGGGTCCACTGCCTGGCACTGTGTCAGAGAAGACCTAGATCCCCCCCAAACAACCTGGCTTCAGACTGTGATGGGACATCTATAAAGACTCCATGGAAGGGACTGGGAGGGTGTCATCACAAGAGAATCAGGGGCTATGCTTGGGGATGGCTGGGAAAACGTTGGAGACTGGTCTTCCAGTTGCTTGCCCATGCTCTGCCCCATCACCCTCAGTCTACTCAGTCAGCCCCACATGCCTGCTTTCTTTCTTCCAAGCAGCCCAGGAGATGGCCCTGGTTGTCAGCCTCCTCCTCTTTACTCTCAACATTGCCTTTGTTGAACTTGTCAAGAAAGAGGAGAGGGGCTAAACTAGAATGAGTTGGGATGTTTGTTGTTCATCCTGCCCGTCCTTGGCTCTGGCTCCACTCATCTTTGGCCTATCTGCCTTCTGACCTACCAAATGGGCACCGGGCACCACTGCTGTGTCAAAGCTTACTCAAAGCAGCTTCACACGCTGCTGCAAAGAACATCTCGATGTGGCTGCAAAAATCCTTTTATTCACAACTGAGTTTGGAGAACAACAGAGCAGAAAGGTCTCTGGGCTTTCCTGCTCTGTTAATATACAGTGCTACTAGGGAGTCAAGAGGACCACCAACTTTGGCCTCAGACACTGCAGGAAACAGTGTGTTAATGGGCTGCTAATGTTCTCTTTTATTTTCTTGAAAGTTGGTTTAAAAAGTGGCTCTTTCAATTCAGAGACTCTGTTAACCCCCCCACAGACGTGTGGCTATGGCACCAGAGACGATGGTTACGGCTGCGTTCCTTGTCCATTGGAGAAGTTTTCTAAAGGCGGGTACCAGATATGTAGGAGGCACAAGGACTGCGAGGGATTCTTTCGGGCCACAGTTATGACACCCGGAGATCAAGAGAATGATGCAGAATGTGGGCCTTGCCTCCCTGGGTAAGGATTTAATTATGAGCCTTTGGTCTCTTAACAAAAACTCCAGTTATGCTGAGCGACGTGAGCATATTTGTTGCATTCCTGCTGTTGGCCACACTACTTTCTGCATCCATTTAAGCGCACGATAATTAACTTTATGTAAATAATACAAGCACTTTAAAAAGCATGTTTTAAATCAAGGAAAGTAACAGATGCTATTAGAGCAAATGAAATATAAAACAAGTGTCTTGTAATAAGAACTAGGAGGAAGAATATTTTTTTTGATGTTAGAAGGGGAGGAAGCTTGCCCATATAAGGATGTCAATGTAACTGTGAACTTTAGACCACCAAATTATTGGAATTTTAAAAACAAACAAAATGAAACCAGTGTTTCTTGGTTACCCTAAGGGAGACTGAAGTATCGCTCTGATAAAATGAAAAATCAACATGGTCAGAATATGATCCTTCATCATTTTATATGGAAAAGTTGATTGCATCACTAGATCTTTATAGTGACATTAAATAACACACCAGATCAGTTAAATTTATTTTTCTTTCCCCAGTAATAGCAAATCACTACTTTTTATTAATAAAGTATTAGGTTCAACAAAGCCATATTGATTTTAAAGTCACTTTTATTATTTTTATGCTTAAAGCACTTTAACATTCATGGTTCACATATATTGTGGGGACTATAGTTTCTTAAGGGTGCTGGGAGTTGTTAGCCAGTATAACCAATGGTCAGGGGTGTTGAGTGTTGAAATCCAACAACATCTGGAGGGCCACAGGTTTCCCACTCCTAACATGATGCATGATGCATAGGATTCCTGACCACATGTCTGGCTGAATGTGGTCAGAGTCCATTCTCACCTGGTCTGGCTTCGTAGAAGGCTGGGAGCTCCATGCCTTCAGATGCCTCCATGTTCAGATGTGCTGTCTTTTCAAAGTGACAACAGGGTCACATGGAACATAGGGAGCTGCCTTCTATGAAGCCAGACCATTGGTTCATCTATCCCAGCACTGTCTATATAGACTTTCAGTGGTTCTCCAAGGTTTCAGGGAAGAGTCTTTTTTAAATCCCTGCTGGAGCTGGATTGAACCCGGGAGCCTTCTGCATGTGGCTACATGACTGAACTTCAGCACATCCTGAAACACAGATTAAAAACATGTGCTCCTGGTTTTTTTTAAGTCAAAAGAATTACTAATTACAATTTGGATGCGTTTATATTGCCATTTGCAAATGTACAAGAGGTTCGGGTCTAGTGCTTCCTCACATCTAAAGCAGGGTTCCCCAGACTAGGGTCTCCAGCTGTTTTTGGACTACAATTCCCATCATCCCCATCCACTGATCCTGCTAGCTAGGGATGACGGGAGTTGTAGTCCAAAAGAACAGCTGGAGACCTGAGTTTGGGAAACTTCTGATCAAGGTGGAATCTACACACGTTCTGAAAATAAGCATCGAATTTTCTATAAGGCTCGCCGCCGCCATCTAGTGCCACACTGTATATTGCACTTACAACACACTTAAAACGTTTTATTTGCAGCTGTATAGCTGAGTCTTTAGAGCCTTGTAGAAGTTTCTGCTCATGATTTACGCAAGCGCATTCCTATATGTCAGAAAGCACACAGGCCACGACAAAGAGCTTCACGTTCTCGCCCTGCTTGTCTTCTAAACCTGATGTTGATTAGTAGGTTTTGCATAAGTTGCTCTCTCTCTCAGTCCCCATCTCCCTGCCCAGGAGGATTAGCCTGGAGCTGAATATTCAGCATGCCAGCAAAATCAAGGCAGCTGGTGCTTGTCTGGAACATCACTTCTTGGGGGGGCGGGAATTATCCTTGCACAGAGGGTCTCATTTCAGAGACATGTCTTGAGCTGCATTGCAAACGCAGTGGACAAACGTCTGTTGATTTAGGCAGTGATACCACCTCATGTCATGTACTTGAATGCTTGATTTAATTGCCTTTATGAGGGCAGCGGAGGAGAGACTGTTTCTAGTCAAGCAGGATAAAAAGTGGATAATGCCATTAAATGAGTAACACAAAAAAATTAAAGTCAGTGATTTCATCTTGCAAAGAAAGTGATTTACTTCTCAAGCATATCTGAAGGCTACCAAGCCAGTTCTGCTGTGTGGTGTGTGCGTTTTTTCTGCCTTGTCCTTTCATTGCCTTGTCCTTTCATTGCAGTTACTACATGCTAGAAAACAGGCCGCGGAATATCTATGGGATGGTTTGCTACTCTTGCTCCCTGGCACCTCCCAACACAAAAGAGTGTAAGTATTGCCACTCTGATTTCTATTTACTTGTATTCGGACTTAAGAAATCTCAAAACGCCGCCTGAAGTTTTCCTGAGCAATATGCCAGTTGACAAACTGAGCCTGCCTTAAAATGGAGCACACTTCAGCAACACAGAATGGAGGAGGGCACATGAATCAGAATAACTTAGGGACACCTTCCTGAATCTGATTCCCTCCAGATGTTTCCAGACTACAACTCCTATAAACCTTGACCATTGGCCATGCTGGCTGCGACCGATGGGAGTTGGAGTACAGCAACATCTGGCAGGTCCCATGGGGAAAGACTAACCTAGAGTTTTCGCATGGTGGTTTTTCATTTTGCTACTACAAAAACCAATAGCTGCAGTGCAGAAGACGCCAGTAGCAAGACAAGCAGATGCACAAAACCAACTAGCAGTTTCCCATCAACACAAGGATTTCTGCTTTCTTCCCTCCCTTCTCCCGGTGCAAACCTTCCCAAAATCTGCTCCAGATGGGCATGGCAGGAAGTAAATCCCCAAGGTGCAAGCAGAAATCCTAGTGCTTTACTAAGCACCACTTTTGATGCAACCTCAAACAGCAGCTTGACACCAGCTTCCATGGAGCCTTGTATAAGCAAGACCACATCCACAGAGCTGTCCATCCTTCTTCCTCCTTCTTCACAAAATAGGCTTCCCAAAGCTTAATATTGGCAATCCGTATAGCTTTTTCAATTTATTGTATCCCACTGTTCCTCCAAGGAGCTCAAGATGGTGAACGTGGTTCTTCCATGCCCCGTTTTATCCTAACAACAACCCTGTGAGGTAGACTAGGTTGAAGTCAGTCACTGGCCCAAGGTCACCCAGCGAGCTTTACGACTGAGCAAGGATTTGAATGTTGGTCCTCATCCAACACTTTAACCACTATTCACACTGGCAATCCTTAAGGAAGAGGAACCTCCTTAATGGATCCAAACCATTCTACATATTTCAGTTTGTCGCTTTCCCAACATGAAAGGCCGACACGGGGTTATCTTCTAGCGTGGCAGCTAAAATGCACAAAGCATTTTAAAGCCTTTTAAAAGAATAATCCTATTTACTTTTTGGCATGTGGATCTAAAGGAAGGGACTGTGGTAAATAGAACATAATACACTGGGGAAAAAACAAAAAACTTTTTGAAGGCCAAATTATGATTTCCCAAATAGCAATGGAGTTTAATGGAAAGGCCGACAGATCTTCCGCTGTCGCACTGCTTGTAGGTTTCTTCACAACATTCCTGTTGTATTACGTACAGGTGGTTAAAAGCACACAACCCACATTTGTGTCCTTGAATTTCAGTCATCAGCATTTTGACGCCAAAATGCAGGAATTTCCATGTGTGGCGATTTGTCCTTGACTTCCCCTGCATACATCTTTTTAGAAAATGTGTGAGTCACGGCTGCCCAACCTAGCTAAGTGGTCTGGGATGTAAATGATACTTGAACTTTCATAGCTGAGAATGGTGAGAAAGGGAGCTTACACTTGGGTTTGTTTCTTGTTATTTACTCCTCTGAAAGCCGGCATGTTGTAGAAGGAGTTTGTTTTAAAAGGTTCTCTGTTTTATTTAGGGCGAGAATAAAAGGGGGGTGGGGGAAAGCTTCATTAGAAAATGTGATCATGCAGCTTGAAAGGCTTGTTTCCTGAGTCACACGGATGTTCTGTTGGCTTTTTTTTAGAAAAATCAGAACTAAGGTTTTCAGTTACAATAGAAAATTCAAATTCTTAACAATACCTAAACCACAATCCAGAAAGTCACACCAATCACACTATGCCATGCCTGCCCACCCCAGCAAAGTTTAGGATTTGGGTAGAAAGAACTGTAAACTTTGATTCTCATTTTTCCAATCTTTAATTCAGTTCTTCGCATTTCTGCAGCAATTTGTGAATTTTCTTTTTTAAAATCTTCATGAAAATTCCTCAGCACTTCAGTGAATGCTCATTCTTACATAACAATACCTGCAAATAATCCAGAATTAAAGCTCTATAAAGACTGTAAACACCCCTCCAGACTGGCAGGTCTTTGTGGGTGTATTCTGCAACACGCTGAATAGCATCCTGATATCCTCCCTTGAGTATACAGTGGTACCTCTGGTTATGAACTTAATTCATTCCGGAGGTCCGTTCTTAACCTGAAACCGTTCTTAACCTGAGGTACCAGCTAATGGGGCCTCCGGCTGCTGGTGTACCACTGGTGAGTGATTTCTGTTCTCATCCTGAGGTAAAGTTCTTAACCCGAGGTACTACTTCCAGGTTAGCAGAGTCTGTAACCTGTAGTGTTTGTAACCCGAGGTACCACTGTAAATCCTAACTGATGAAAGGCAAACAAAATGGGAAGAAAGCACACAAGAGCTTTCCTAACCAAGCCTCCAATTCATTTGACTGCCCTAATTCACCATCTTCAAATGTCCAGAACTATCAGGCTTATGTCCACCTAGTTTAAAGTCAGGAGATATATATTGCATGCCTTACTATTTCAACACTGCATAAAAACCACTATTTTGGTTTCAACACTGCATAAAAACAACTATTTTGGTTTCAAATGAAAATGTCTCTTACAAAAGGCACATACGACATTTAAGAACTAGCCACGCTTGTAAGGTACTTTGCTCTGTTATAGGAAAAACTCATTTCAAATTGCTGAACTATATGCTTTTTTTGGCCACGTTTCTAGCTAGTATTTGTCTTTGCCATTAGTGCATTTTATATTGTGTAATAGTTCTTCGTTTATTTTGAAAAACGCATCTTTATTTAGAGCATGCACATTTCTTTACTTCATAAGCTGCAAGACGTTTTTCACGCGCTACAAGAGAACTTAATTTCCTGTCACATTTGTCTGATGGAGCTGGGCCAAGAAAATTCTCAACTTCCTAGAACTGCAGAACAACATCAGTCATTTTTTCATTGGGGCATGAATTTAGCCAAATAAATTCTCCCATCTCGTATGCCGTGTGTTGTCTTTGCTAGAGATTCAGTGCCTTAAATGCTGATAATAAAAATCAGTGCCTTTTAAACAATCTTAAAAGCAGGCTGAAAATATATAATAAGTCTAAGGCTGCAAACCTGAAAGTCCAGTTGAAACCATTCATTTCAACGGGAGCTGCTTCTACAAAAACAAAGGAAAACCAAGTTTAGGACTGCTGTGCCTCTTGCGTTGGTGTTCAGTTGGCACATCCCTAGGTTCAGAAACAAATGTGTGCCAAATGCGTTTTTCACAGCTCGGCACCATAAATCCACATTTAGGTGTTTGACATTTGAATTGTAAGCACTGGCTTTTAAATGGACGGGAAATTCATGCAAGTTAAGTAACTGTGCTGTCAGTTCACAAATGCATCAATTCATGGCCCAGATTTTACAAGCGTCACCAGGAAAATTTATGGCAAATTTGTTTTTTTATTATGATAGGTGCAGGCGTTACCTCTGGGGTGTCAGCCAGTTTCCCAATTACTTCTGGAACAAGTACCCATTCTCCTTTCCAGCATGTGCACAAAGGTAAGAAAAGCAGCCCAGTTCCCCTTTTAGCATTTTCTTGAGTTGGCTTTTGGTATGTACTCCTGGGAGGCTGGAAGACTGAGCAGCCGGGGGAGCAAGGTGCCTTCTTCCCTACAGAGATGTGTGGTTGATGTGCCGTCTCAGAAATCTGAGCTGTTTCTATTTAAACTTTTTCTTTTTTACTCAGCCTATGGGTCTGTCAGGCTTAAAGTATGTGTTTTAATTTCATTTCACGGTTTTCTCATAGATGAAGTATCATTAAAAATATTTCTTCAGCAATCAACATGCTTCAGCAGAGATGAGTTTTACAATGAACTTTGCAAATGAGGTGTATTTATTTAGATGAAAAGTTAATTTACCTCAGGGGTAGGCAAACTAAGGCCCAGGGGCTGGATCTGGCCCAACTGCCTCCTCAATCCGGCCCACGGACGGTCTGGGAATCAGCGTGTTTCTACATGAGTAGAATGTGCCCTTTTATTTAAAATGCATCTCTGGGTTACTTGTGGGGCATAGGAATTTGTTCATTATTATTTTTCCAAAATATAGTCCGGCCCCCCACAAGGTCTGAGGGACAGTGGACTGGCCCCCTGCTGAAAAAGTTTGCTGACCCCTGATTTTGCTCCTTTATCTCATCAAATGAGGTTTATTTGGATTGTGGGGATTTAGTTCATTTCAGTCATTTGATGATGTGAGCAATCTCCTTTGGTACTAATACAGTCAGATGTGTCATTATGGGGCATAAAGTCAAGGAAATCAGGTCACCAGAAAATTGCGGGGGGGGGAGTCATCTACTGATCCCAATCCAAAGACTTGGTAATGCGTTTAAGGAATTCACAGTGATCATAACTTTGTTCGCTGCAAAGCAAGAGGCACTTTAGCCAACTTTAAACACAATTGCTAAGCAGGGCCAATTACTCTTGAATTGGGAACACATCCATTCAGCAAATCCAGCTCCACAAACAGAACGATTTGAGACACTAATGAATATTGGCAACTGACTGCAGTGTTTCACCTTAGCCCAGAAACGTGTATCAAGAGCGTTATTTCTAACAAGCAAGTAAACTGCAGAAAAACTAAACAAAACCAGATGATTTCGCTGTAAGAGAGTAGCTTTTAGATAAATGGGTTATTCACAAAAGCTAAAGAAGTACTTTGTTTATTCATTTCAAAGTAACCGGGGAAGAAAATTTTGCAGCAAATCTGTTTCTATTGAAGGTGCGAGTCTTACCTTTTCTGGAGTGTTCTAACTGGAATACTTAGATGGCTGCAAATGGACTTTACTTGCAATTACTCATTAGTGGTGGCTTGTTTTGTTTTTGTTTTTTTAAAAACCCCAACACACAACACTACCGCTATGAAAAGACCTGCATTGGCACATATGAAAAGTGAATTGCTTGTTTGAAAATTTTCATATTCAGTAATTAACGTAACATTTTGATACACTCACAAACAATTTAGGGAAGGGGAATCTAGTAGTGCAAGCTTGCTAACAGTTAAATGACAATTTTCTGAACATGCAATTTCACCTGCAGGAGTGTGATCTGAGAAAGGTACTCTGTGCCATGGGGGGGGGGGAATAGAGGCAGTTTCAGTTTGAGTTTTAGGGCAAGGCAACCTATTTATGGAGCATTTATCCTGATTTCCTTGCACAAAGTGGAAACGGCAGTTAGATGATATTCAGACTTTATCGAGCATTCGTTCTAATTTGTTTACAGGGAGGTTATATGACAATGACCATTCCCCTTGGTTTTGTTCCAGGGCGTTTGCACATTATCTTATTAATCATTCCATTAATCCCACACTTTTCACCATCACTTTCTTAACTGCAAAAGATCCGTTGTTGTTTACATGGATATGTTGTGCTAGGGCAACAGAGAGCTTAAATCCATTTTAGCTGTGCAAACCCACATTTGCCAGATGGACTTGAATCCATTCTGCAAAATACTGGCCACTTGGAAGCACAGACACACATGCAATACTGACTCTGAATTACAAAGACTACATCTGGCATTCTACTGCAAGTAAAAAAACTGCATGCTAAGTAAATGAAAATACAAGATTAGTGTTCTTCCGAGTCCAGTGGAGTTTATTTGCATGCGAATGTGCCTGACATCGTAGCCTTACTGTATAGTCCTGTGCACGCCCTCCTCAAGAGTAAGTTCCATGGAGTTCAATGAGACTTACTGCCAGCTTAAGTAGATACGGGACCTCAGCCTTAATAATGGTAAAAGTGCCCCCCCCCCCGATTATCAAGGTGGCAGATATGAAAAGTAAAGGAAGTGTGCTTCCTGTTTCAGAAATATTTTAGAAATATTTGTGTTATCCTATACAAATGTAATTCATAATTGGTGACTAGAGACAAGCTCATATGGTTAATACTTTTAAATGCCTTTAATGGGGTTGCGGCTACAGCTCTAATAATCTGTCTCTGTGTTTTCAGGAGACCTCTCCAGTCAAGGACACCTTGCAACTGCTCTTATCATTGCCATGTCAACTATTTTCATAATGGCAATCGCTATTGTCCTGATCATCATGTTTTACATTGTGAAAACGAAAACTTCGGCTCAAGGTAACTGCCCGTCAGTAAAGAGAATTCTGACTTCTGTGCATAGGCATTTGCCAAGAATGGGTTTTAACAAGAGGCGTGATTTTAAATTCCAGCTTGCTGCACCAGCCATTCTGTGAAGACTGTAGAAGCCCAGGCCAATATGCAGGGGGAGAAAAAAGAAGTACAAGGTTTGAACAGTTTTTTAATTTCTGCTTTTTACACACATCAGATCCCACACGGCTTAATTTGCCCTGAGGCGATGCCCCGTGTTAATTTAAACTTTAAACTGCTCGGACTCAAATTCCATTTTGTAGAAGAATAATTGGGAAGGCCTATATGTAACCTTGAAAACATCCTTCTGCCTGCAATCCCTTCCCTGACTAATTTAAGACTCAGCACCACAATTCGGTGATTTGTTCCGAAACACCCATACGCAGGTGCCAGCGAGGAAATTTTGTTCACAACTGTGATCCGTTGACCGTTTCAAACCCTTTCCCTCCTCTTTTTTAATTTGCAGAAAATGTGGTGATTTTCTCAGAGAAAGACGAGTTTGGAAAATTAACTGCAACTCCAGCGAAGGTTGTCAAGAGGTATGTGACAGAAAAACAAGCATGCCGATAGCAGGGAAGGAGCAGGATTATAGTCGACAGCACTTGACACTGAACTCTCTACAGTAGGCCGCATTCCAGCCACACTAAAGTCAGAGGTGTATATATGGAACAGATTAAGTTCGTAAACTGAGGTACCACTGTATCTACGATCACATCCACACCACATATTTAAAGCACATTTATATCATTAACAGTGGGGGCAGCTTCCTTCAAAGAAACCTGAAAACCGTGTCGTTTACCACATACGGAGCTACAATTCCAAGCACCTTTAATAAAACACAGTGCCCAGGGTTCTTTGCAGGAAGCTTTGTGCTTAAAATATATGGTGAATGTGACCTAGATCTCTAGATAGATGAGTGTGCACACAGACGCGCATATGAATCTCTTTTAGGATCCATGGAGGGTCCTAAAACCTGGGGAAAAGAGACAAGGAGGGGCATATTTAGACCCAGGCTTAAGGTTCCTACAGTCTTGCCAGCAGAGATCTGGAGGAAAGTTTATTTACATTAAGTGGGTGGTGGAGTGGGGGGAGATGGAATTTGTTACAGGAAAATGTTGCAGGAGAAGCACTTTAGTATTACTGGTATTTTTTTTTAAAGGAAAGGATTGAACTTCCCTCGGTTGATTTGAAATTTAAAATACAGTGGTGCCTCGCAAGACGAAATTAATCCGTTCCGCGAGTGTCTTCGTCTAGCGGTTTTTTCGTCTTGCGAAGCAACCCTATTAGCGGCTTAGCGGTTTAGCGGCTATTAAAGGCTTAGCGGCTTAAAGGCTTAGCTGCTAAAAGGCTATTAGCAGCTTAGCGGCTTAGAAAAAGGGGGGGGGAGCGAAAAAAATCTCAAGACTCGCAAGACATTTTCGTCTTGCGAAGCAAGCCCATAGGGAAATTCGTCCTGCGAAGCAACTCAAAAACGGAAAACCCTTTCGTCTAGCGGGTTTTCCGTCTTGCGAGGCATTCGTCTTGCGGGGCACCACTGTACAAAGAGCTAAAGCCCTGGTGTTCAGGAGGATACAAGAATCCTTTGCAGCAGGCTCAGTCGCCAGTAATTTTAATGTGAGGCCTCAATCCATGCATACCCTCCAGCATTTCTCTGATGAAAATTGGGACGTCTGGTGCTATTTTTCTTTAAAAAAAAAGGAAAACACCTCCCTAGTTCTCTCTGAATGGCTCCCCATCTGAGAGGTGCTGGAACTGAGTTCTAGTGAGTTCCAGCTAAAAAAAACCCTGGGCATATCCTGTTCCATACCCTCAAAAATTTCGCCATTGCAAATAGGGACGGCCTAAGGAAAAGCGGGACATTCTGGGGTCAAATCAGAAACTGGGGTGACTTCTGGGAATCTGGGACTGTCACTTGGAATAGACGGCTGGTTTGGGGCATGTGACTCTAAAAGCCTCTGGAATTAGAAAAGCATAGAGTAGGCAAACTAAAAGATCTTATGGTCTTTCATTTCCAGATCAGGATGCAATGGAGGGTATACGAGGGCTCCCCACCCCCACAAGAAGCCCTGTTGCCTCATGAAATCACATTGCAACACTTTGCAAACACTAGGCTGAGCCTATTCAGTAAAGACCATGCATATGTATTTAAAAGATGCTGGACTCACTTCTGTTATCGTTTAGAAAAGCAACCCTTCTGTTTTTCCTCCCCCCCTTCCAGTGAAAATGATGCTTCTTCAGAGAATGAGAGGCTTTTAAGTCGTAGTATGGACAGCGACGAAGAAGCTGCGATTGACAAGCAAGGGACGCCGGAACTGTGCTTGTTGTCTCTCGTCCATTTGGCCAGAGATAAATCTTCCACAAACAACAAATCCACTGGCGTAAGTCTCACCTGGAGTTTTAAAAAGGGCATTGGGTCAAGTGCTACTTTCCCCCGTCTGCTTGAGCAGCTAGCTAGCTGCTCTTCCATCAGGCATTGTTAGAAAGAAGAATACATAAAATATCATTAACTGTGTGGCTTAAGTTCTGGGGCATGGCCTCAGCGAGAGCTTCCATTAGATGGTGGAGAAAGACTGTATCCAGTTTTTAATCTTACAGAATTATTGGGATTGAAAATGAAATAGCAAACTTCAGTTCTGACTGAGCTCACATATTTCATTCATATGAAATATGAATACGTTCATTCATATTTTAGGTAGCTATTGAAAGGCAACCCCTGCGTCTGTCTAGTCTGTCTAGCTCAGTCATCTCTACATGGACTGGTTGTCCAGGATTTCAGACATGGTTCTCTCCTGGCGGTACCTAGAGATGCCAGGTATTTGAACCTGGGATCTTCTGCATAAAAAGCAGGTGTTCTGCCAGTGAGCTACTGTCCCTTCCACATTGTCTCCATGTCCTGGAATGGTGCAAGCATAGGCAAACTCCAGATGTTTGGGACTACAATTCCCATCATCCCTAGCTAACAGGACCAGTGGTCAGGGATGATGGGAATTGTAGTCCCAAACATCTGGAGGGCCGGAGTTTGCCTATGCCTGGGTTACAGGCATGTGGCTCAGGTAAAAGGGTAGCACTAAGGTAAAGATAAAGGGACCCCTGACCATTAGGTCCAGTCACGGACGACTCTGGGGTTGTGGAGCTCATCTCACTTTATTGGCCGAGGGAGCCAGCGTACAGCTTCTGGGTCATGTGGCCAGCATCACTAAGCTGCTTCTGGTGAACCAGAGCAGCGCACGGAAACGCCATTTACCTTTCCGCTGGAGTGGTACATATTTATCTACTTGCACTTTGATGTGCTTTCGAACTGCTAGGTTGGCACTAAGGGCCCTGCTAATCCCTGTCATATCTATGAGATGTTGTGATCCATGGAGGGCTGTTGTGGGACCTTTATGAAAGAAACTGCAGCTGGCTGTGTTGCTGATATAGCAGTACTGTCTAAAAAAGTTTGCCAAAAAGCATTTATGAAACCAGTTTTTGCTCCCAGTTCTCCTAACAAGTTTCATGGCAAAGCAGGCTCTTCCCAGGGCCACTAACTCTCAGATGATATAACCCTCTTTCAGGAGGTGTAGGTAGAGCTGCTTGATTCACCACAGATGTGGTGCCCTACGAATCACATGGTCTCAGGCCATGATATGCAACCGTGATATTTTATGTATTCTTCCTGCAATCTCTGGACAGTGTCTGTTCAAAGAGCAATTAAACGCTGGAACATGTAAGCAGAAACGTCCAACTGATCCAAGGCAGAGGATGATCTGGTGTGAGAGTAATGCAAACTCTCCTTAAAGGGATAGTGGACATGAACAGACTCCGCATCTGTTAAGACTTTTAACTCTTCTGTCACCTCAGCAGCATACAGCATGAAAGCCTCTAGTCCGGCCATTAATTTCACAGAACTAGCTTTCCTATGGAAACTTCGCAAATATGCTTGAAGACGAAACGAAGATGTTTCTGTAGTTGGCTCCTGTCAAAGGAGGACACACTAAGACAGAATCGAGACTCAAACTTTGTATACTTTATTATTTCGTTTTCAATGGCCCCTGCCCTCTTTTTAGAAGTATGCAGATGTTACAAGCCTCACTAATGAATGCAACATGGGGTGTGTGGCAATAGTTGTGAGATTAAGCCTACCGGCCAGGGGTCTACTACCATTTGCCAGTACCTGGGGCAGGTATGCTCCGCATGCGCACCAGCCGGAGGTGGAGTGCACTCATCCAGCACTCGCTGCCAACGATGCTGGGCAGGTGCTAGAGAGTGCTCTTCAGGCTCTGCTCCACAGCTCCCGTCCCTGCTGGGCAAGCGCTCATGCGCCAGGTGGGGGGCAGAGGGTGCGTGATGGGGATCTCTGCAGGGTGTTTTGCGCACTCCCCAGATTGTGCGCCCTGGAAAACTGCCCCCTGCTCCCCCACACTACGCCACTGCTACCGGCCTACCAGTGGGGTGATCTTTCTTCCCACAGGGGCCACATTATGTGAGTAGAATTGCCTTGTGTTCACACACCTTTGGCTCATATTAAAGATTCAGCAGCCTATTAAACAATTGCAATTAGGCTCATATTAACTTTTTTAAAAAGACAAATTTTGCTATTCTGCTTGTAACATAACTAGCGAAACAGCTATATGGGGTTGGCGATGAAAGTCCCACCCTGACTACTTGAAAACTGTATTTAGCCACACTTCTGATGTCAGTTTTCACTAGACAATGCCTGGAAAAAATAAGCACGTCTCCACAGCTATAAATGCTAAAAGTGGGCATTACCATCCCCACAAAGACCCCACCACCGCCACCAATGAAATTCATAGGAACTGGCGTTCTGCACCTAATACCAAATCCCATTCTTTCTAGGGAATAGAATACACAAAACTCCTCCCCCTCTGCTCATCAAACATCTGAGGATGAAGGTCCACTTTCAAATAAAAATAATCTTTTATTTTCCTTAGATACAAAGCCGGCGGAAAAAGATACTTGATCTGTATGCCAACGTATGCAGCGTTGCAGAAGGTGAGTGAAAAGAAAACACATTAATTTATAGCCACATTATTTGCTACATATCTTCAAGATGGCTAATATGTGACAGGCAATAGATTCAGATAAACCCAACTCTGGAGCTGAGGTAATTTTGGAAGCAATCTGTCTGAACGGCAGAATAAAATATCACCCAGTGCTATAGTTAAGACTAGTGCTTTCGGCTGAATTCCTATACACTTTTACCTGCGAGAAATCCCACTCAAGTCAATCAAGCTTTGAAAAGACGTATGTAGGTCCCACTGCATGACAAAAAGCGTTGCTCGATTACTACTTTTTTTTCTTTTAAAGCCCACTTTGATTGCAAGATTCTTTAAGAACACAAGCCATAGCAAGATATTTACGGTCTGTGAGAATAAACTTACAGCCACATAAGCATTTGCATCTGTTCCACCCCTACCCCTGCCTTTCCTTTTTACCTCAGAAGATGTGTTTGGAAAATTCTCTTGTTTTTGACCTCAGGATAAGATGGGGAAAGTGGTAGGCCTCACCAGGAATTTCACCCTTTCCTTGAAATATGTGTTGGCCCTGAGGTGACAATAATATATATATTTTTTTAAAAAAAGAAGAAGTTCTCTTTGTTGGGGGTTCCAGTGCTCATCAATGGACACTTTTTGCTTTCAATGAAAACTGGAAGTTTCAACCTCTTCTGTAGGCAGTGCCAGATTTACGTATAAGCTAAACAAGCTATAGCTTAGGGCCCCACTCTCTTTGGGGCCCCCAAAAAAATTAAAGGAAAAAACTATTAATTGTATTTCAGTTCAACAATTATTTTGATAAAATACATATTTTGTTATGCGCAAATGGCTTTAGATACCTATTAGATCCATGAATTACCATATAGCATATATTCAACACACAAAACAGCGACAGTTTGTTGTTGACAAAGGACAGCTGGACATATAAAGGGCCCCATTACCTTCTGTAGCTTAGGGCCTCATCAAACCTAAATCTGGCCCAGCCTGTAGGCATAAGACCTCCCTATAAAATTTTTCACATGAAGGTTGGCTGTCAGCTTATGCCAGGAAGATGGGGAAAGGAAACAGCAGCAAAACAAGGAAGGGGAATGTTCTGGATTAATTGATCTCTACAATTCTATGATCCGATGAAAAGCATTGCGAGTACAATGTTAATGCTAATAAAGTAATATTCTGAATATGGAGAAGCTATGGCCCTCTAAATGTTGTTGGGCTACAACTCCCATCATCTCTGACCGTGGGCCAAGCTGGCTGGGGCTGATGGAAGTTGGAGTCCATCACCTTCTGGAAGGCCACAGCTTCCTCAGCCCTGCCCGGAAGAGGCACTACATGTCAAACATGGAGAAGAGAGCTCAGTAAACGTGACCCTCTAAACTTTCTTTTTAGGCCTCAGTCCCACAGAGCTCCCGTTCGATTGTCTGGAGAAGACCAGCAGGATGCTGAGCTCCACGTACAACACCGAGAAAGCCATTGTGAAGACCTGGCGCCACCTCGCCGAGAGCTTTGGACTGAAGCGTGACGAAATAGGTGGCATGACTGACGGCATGCAGCTCTTTGACCGCATCAGCACAGCAGGCTACAGCATTCCAGAACTGCTAACAAAACTAGTGCAGATTGAACGGCTAGATGCCGTGGAGTCTCTTTGCGCAGATATCTTGGAGTGGGCCCAAGTGATACCTAAACCTGATCCGGTGGTGGCCTCGTGACATGTGTTTCGGTTGCCTTCATTTCAAAACAATTTATGTGGATACCGAAGAGCAATGGAACTCATTATGGAATGGAATCTGAAAAAGCATGGACGGCCTTCAGATCGCAGTAGCATTTTCCGTTGTTCCAAGTATAAAACGAGCCAAGGATTGTTACTGGTTCGTCATAAAAGAAATGAAAGAAGCAGAGGCTGAAGACTTCTTGAATGAGGCTGACTTGGCCTGTTCAGAGGATATTGCTTTTCACTTCAAACTCCTTTTACAAGCAGAGATACAGATCAGCCTGCCAGTATCATTGCAGGCTCTGAAGAAATCTGATGTAATCGCTATGGTTTAATTTTGTCTCAGTCCTCCGCAATTAGTAACTACTATCAGAGATAGTGTTGCCCGATACAGATAATGCAAATGTCACTTCTACTACATCTAGCATTTAACCAAATGTCAGTTTGGTTAAACTGGACAGGCTGCTTGGACGCGTGAAACCAACCACCTGTCTCCTTGATCCTTGCCCATCCTGGCTAATAAAAGCAAGCCGGGAAGGGCTGGGCGATGGGCTCTGCGGGGTGGTGAATGCTTCCCTCTGTGAGGGACATTCCCAGATCCGCTGAAAGAGGCGGTCATTAAACCGCTTCTTAAAAAACCATCTTTAGACCCGGCCAGTATGGCCAACTATCACCCAGTCTCAAATCTTCCATTCTTGGGCAAGGTGATTGAGCGCATGGTTGCTGAACAACTCCAGGCACGCCTGGAGGATGCGGACCATTTGGATCCCTTCCAGTCGGGATTCAGGCCTCATCATGGGACTGAAACTGCCTTGGTCGCGCTGGTTGATGATCTCCGGCGAGCTAGGGACAAAGGTGAGAGTTGTTTCCTAGTTCTGCTGGATCTCTCAGCGGCCTTTGATACAATCGACCATAACATCCTTCTGGACCGTCTAGAGGGGCTGGGAGCTGGGGGCACTGTTATACAGTGGTTTCGCTCCTTCCTCCTGGGCCGTGTTCAGAAAATGGTGGTGGGGGATGAGTGTTCAGACCCCTGGGCCCTCACTTGTGGGGTGCCTCAGGGTTCCGTCCTCTCTCCCATGCTTTTTAACATCTATATGAAGCCGCTGGGAGAGATCATCAGGAGGTTTGGACTGGGTGTCCATCAATATGCAGATGATACCCAGCTCTACCTCTCTTTCAAATCAGAACCAGTGAAGGCAGTGAAGGTCCTGTGTGAGTGCCTGGAGGCGGTTGGAGGATGGATGGCGGCTAATGGATTGAGGTTGAATCCAGACAAGACAGAAGTACTGTTTTGGGGGGACAGGGGGCGGGCTGGTGTGGAGGACTCCCTGGTCCTGAATAGGGTAACTGTGCCCCTGAAGGACCAGGTGCGCAGCCTGGGAGTCATTTTGGACTCACAGCTGTCCATGGAGGCGCAGGTCAATTCTGTATCCAGGGCAGCTGTCTACCAACTCCACCTGGTACGCAGGCTGAGACCCTACCTGCCCGCGGACTGTCTCGCCAGAGTGGTGCATGCTCTAGTTATCTCCCGCTTGGACTACTGCAATGCGCTCTACGTGGGGCTACCTTTGAAGGTGACCTGGAAACTACAACTAATCCAGAATGCGGCAGCTAGACTGGTGACTGGGGGCAGCCGCCGAGACCACATAACACCGGACTTGAAAGACCTACATTGTCTCCCAGTACGTTTCTGAGCACAATTCAAAGTGCTGGTGTTGACCTTTAAAGCCCTAAATGGCTTTGGCCCAGTATACCTGAAGGAGCGTCTCCACCCCCATTGTTCTGCCCGGACGCTGAGGTCCAGCGCCGAGGGCCTTCTGGTGGTTCCCTCATTGCGAGAAGCAAAGCTACGGGGAACCAGGCAGAGGGCCTTCTCGGTAGTGGTGCCCACCCTGTGGAACGCCCTCCCATCAGATGTCAAAGCGATAAATAACTACCTGACATTCAGAAGACATCTTAAGGCAGCCCTGTTCAGGGAAGTTTTTAATCTGTGATATTTTAGTGTATTTTTGGTTTCTATGGAAGCCGCCCAGAGTGGCTGGGGAAACCCAGCCAGATGGGCGGGGTACAAATAATAAATTATTATTATTATTATTTCCTCTCAAATAACATTAAGGATTAACCATTTTTTTAAAAAAAAAAAATCACACGTGTGAGACTTTATTGACATAAATTAGTTGGATTATGTGTGTTGAAATTAGACCAAGTAGATGGCAATAGTCCAGTTAATTCAAAATTTCAGCGTATGCTGAAGTCTTGGCACATGTGGTCCACACAGACATTTCGGAAATATTGTCACATATACTAATGGAAATATATGCCAATTATAAAATTAGCAGAATTTATTTATGAATATGCTCATACACATACATTAAGTACAAATATTATTTTGACCAGCTTTTATGCTACAGAAGGAAAAAAATAGACCTAAGCATAGAAGTATATGGTGACATTTATTCTATCTTCAACTAGATCACAACCGAGGTAGGAAATATTAATGCCTCAGTCAATGCTGTTCATTTATTTGTTCAAGTCATCTTCAGATTTAATGAAATTCTTTACCATCACAACCCTTATAGATAAGGTATTTTGAAATGCTACTTCTGTATTGGCTACAGCTTATGATTTCAAGGCACTGGCTAATCAGATCAATACTGATGGACAGGTTTCTCTGGTTCGTTTTCATGGTTTGTCATTACAAGAATGAGTCTGTGTGAGCCTCATTGCTTCTGCTCCCCCTCCTCTGCCCCAAGGCATGAAGAGACCGAAATCTCTTGCTTTTGAACTAACCACAGTTCATTGTTCTGTCTGAACTCTGGGACCTATTGTTCATTCTAATCTCGATGAATACAAACTGGTTTGTTTTAATGACCTGTGTACCTTGAATTCAGGTAGATGTAGCAATGAACTTTGGTTACTCTAAAAATAGGTGATTTATCTCTTTCTGCAATTGGAGAAAGAAGAAGTAGAAGATGGAATAGGGAGCACATGATGAGCCACTTTTTGTCATTGAAGTGGGTCAACATGTTCGCTGTTACCAGAATTTCCCAGTATGTGTCAATGTGCAGAGGAATTTTGGACGTGTATTTGAGTGTGCCCTCAGTTCATATGGGGCAATGGCGAGATCCAACAGTGTGACCAGTGCTCAACATGAACTAAGACAGCACTGGAGAATGTACTTCAGAATCCTTTGGGATTCTATTGCAGATGTCTGAAGCTTCTCAGAAGGGGTTGGTGTGAACCGTATTAATGTGATAATTAAATAACTACTTACAAAAGTTAGGGTGAGGTGTGGTCTCACCATTGAAATTACCCCATTCAATGTAATAGATGTTTAAAATAAGCAATATGTTTTTTTCCCTCTCATTTGAAAAGTAAAAAAGAAACAACACATTTCTAAAGATCAATATATATATATATTTAAATGGCTTTATGAAATCATCACAAGAACTACCTAATGTTGCTGGCAGACTGTCCATGAGTAGGTAGTTTGGTCTAGGGCTCAGATAAGGGCTATCTCTTCTCAAGGAAATCCTTATTTTTCTTGGCATGAGGCTCCTCGTGAACTCATAATTACAGAGTCCAGGAGCCAGGGGCAGTTTAATTAGCAAGTTTATTAATTTATTGTTCAGTTCTCCACAAAGTGCTGCGTTGACAGATTTCAGTAAGTTATTATTATTATTAAAAGAAACACCATGTCTTAAAAAACAATGTTTTTTTAATTCATATTCTTTAAAATTATAAACAGCCCTGCCCCCTGCCTCTTCAGCTGCAAACAAATGGCAACCGAAAGACTCCACTCCAATGGGTTCAATGTGATGAATATTTAATATTGTCATTTAGTTTTCCCATGTGTGGTACCCAATTTGTTAGCCTGTGAGCTTTGGATTTCTAACTATATTTTACTATCTCCAAAATGTCCTTTCCCCTCTGAATAATGATGAATAATACCTTGTGTAATTAATTTGCAAATGCATACTTTGATTATAGTTCGTTCCTTCCTGCCCAGTGCAGCTCCCTGTAGCTTTTAGACATTCTACCACATAAAGAGAAGCCCCACTCACCCACAACTATCAACTTGAGTCAGTAGCTCTGAAATGATGCAACACGGTCTAGATCAGACATCTGCAATAGAATCCCAAAGGATTCTGAAATACATTCTCCAGTGTTGACTTAGTTCATGTTGAGCACTGGTCAGACTGTTGGATCTCGCCATTTCCCCATGTTTTTGGACTGCAGTTCCCATCATCCCTGACTAGCTAGCTAGAGTCCTGCTAGCTAAGGATGATGGGAGTTGTAGTCCAACAACAGCTGGAGACCCAAGTTATGGAAACCCTGGTCAGGAGTCTAGTGCACAGGTCTAGCTTTCAGTTGTAAAGCTCAGAGGAACGCTGAGTTTTACAACTTAGAAAGATCGTCTGCTTTGGTTATTCTTCCACCTACTTCACAAAAAAAAGTACAGTAATTATTTCTCATCTCCCTCAAACCTTTGGGAACAATAGGGCCTTGTGCAGTCCCAGCATGAACACAGGCCTGGTTCATTTTCATTTTGCATACAAAAATTGTTTTCTTGTATTAAACCTGCACCCCCACAATAAATAAAAGAGTCGGGGGGAAACGAAGACTAATTCTGCACTTCTGCCAAAATGTTTCTATTGTAGCAATTTTGTATATATAACTTATTATTGTTGTACATTATGCAAAAAAATAAATAAGGTATTAAGATAAAGCAATGCTACATGTGTGGTGATAATTTTTTTAAAGAAGGTTATACAGTTTACTTTTTATATTCACATCGCTTCTCACCTTCTCCTCCAGGACTATTAACCAAATTCAAACTCATATATTTAAGGACCAGGATCCAAAGTTAATTAAGGCATGCCCAGAGACTGTGCACTAGTCCCATGGGGTGGTGGGTCTTCTTTTATTTTAACTTACCTAACCTAAACTTTCCTGGAGAGCCAGTGTGGTGTAATGGTTAAGAGTGGTAGACTT